GGGTGAGTGAGTCTGCAAATGAGTGTGTGTGTGTGTGTATGTGAAGTGTTTGCGTAACAAATACACACAATGTTATTCATTTATATTTACTTAACAATTTTACATGTGTTTTTTGAGCTCGAAGAGCTTTAGAATATTGAATATTTGTATATTCATTTTTTTTATTGATGAAGAGCAACAACAAAAACAAAACGAAAGTTCAAAATTCATTCTAGAAAAAAAGAAACACTCACACACACAAATAGAGTCTAATAGAGGAGATAATTTGCAAACCAAACAGGTAATATTTTGCTGAGAAGAATTTTGAGATTTGTATTGAGAAGATAAATAAGAGAAGGTATTCGAAAGGTAAACCTAGGGAAATTGATATGGCAATTTGGGAGGAAATAAATATGGTACAATGATGGATAACATATGGGAGACCTTTAAAATAAATCCTTTAAAAATGTCGACCTCAGAAAAAATTACTTTAAAAATCCACGCCTAAGGTAGACTTCAGAAAAAAAATATTTTAAAAATCCACGCCTAAGGTAGACTTCAGAAAAAAAATATTTTAAAAATCCACGCCTAAGGTAGACTTCAGAAAAAAATATTTTAAAAATCCACGCCTTTGGGAGGACTCAGAAAAAAATATTTTAAAAATCCACGCCTTTGGGAGGACTCAGAAAAAAATATTTTAAAAATCCACGCCTAAGGTAGACTTCAGAAAAAAAATATTTTAAAAATCCACACCTAAGGTAGACTTCAGAAAAAATTTATTTTAAAAACTCACGCCTAATGTAGACCTCAAACCTATATACCGCCGATGAATACACCGCGTTACTTTCCGGATATCAGTCCGCTTTTAGAAGGTAATAATCGCCTGGTACTAGGGGATGCGAGCACAAAAGGAAAAAGTGGCAAGACCACCTGAAGCAATTCAGCATTGCCACCGGAACTAGTAAATTGTGGGCAACGGTTAAGTCACTTTCGAATCCTGGAAGGAAGGATGACAGGACGGCTGTTACATTTAACGACGTAACTGTGACAGACCCGAAGAGGTGCGCGAGTTATTTTAACCGGCAATTCATATAGCACCCCGAGAGTGACAGGTATGTGCTACGTCGCATAAGGGCACTCCGAGCTGAGGAGGAACCACCACAATTTACGAAGGAGGACACTGCAGATGTCATTAATAACGCTAAATCATCCAAAGCGTTGGGCCCAGACGGAATTTCCATGGTAATCCATAAGTAGCTGGATGAACCCGGAGTTGAGTACTCAACATCAGCCCTCAACTTGTCGTTAACCACCCACATAGTTCCTCGAGGCTGGAAAATAAGCTGGGTGGTCCAGCTACTGAAGCCTGGCAAGGATGCCAGCAGGGGTGAATAGTACAGGTCGATTTCACTCCGGTAGCCGCTACTCCTTCCCATTGTTGATAAGCAGTTTTCCAGTTGCCAAACACCAACATGGATTCCATAAGATGTACAGCACAACAACAGCATTACACGCATTTTCCACACATATTATCAGAGGACTCAACCAGAACAGGCCGTACAGCCGAACAGTTATGGTGGCACTTGACCTATCGAACCATGCCAAGTTGTTCGAAGATATAGAGAGGACAAATCTGCGACCGTGTGTACGCCAGTCGTATGTGGAATTCAGAAAAAGGAAGTCTAAACAGGGAGTTCCCCAAGGAGGGGTGATATCTCCGGAACTATTCAACCTCTAACTTTCTGATATTCCACAACCACCGGACGGCATAGAGATCGTAATGTATGCGGATGATTGTAGATCATGGCGTCATGTCCTATTATTGATGATATATGTGAGAGGCTAAACGTCTACATTGCCGATCTTGAGAATCTGATCTTCCTGCCGATCTTCCATATGAGAAATATGAAAATATCCGCCACCAAATAAACAGCCACACTGTTCACCACATGGACGGCTGAAATGAAACTTCCACTGAACGTAATGGTTGATGGAGAATTGATTCCGACCACCAACTGCCTCAAGATACTGGGAGTAACGTTCGACAGCCTTTTCATGCGTCTGTGCAAGCCACTGCTTTATGCCATAAGCTGAGAAGTAGGAACCAGGTCCTCAAGTCGCTAGTTGTCAGCACTTGGGGCGCTGACAAAGGAACCTTGTTGACCTCTTATAAAGCAATATGACGGTCAGTGGTAAGCTATGCGAAGCCAGTGTGGTTCGCGAATGTTAGTAATAAGCAGTGGAAGAATATCCAGACCTGCCAGAATGCTGCCCTGAGAACTGCAACAGGGTGTCTCCTCATGACCCCTGTGGACCATCTGGAGACGTCACAATTATATGTTGTCGATGCAGTACATGCTTGAGTGCTATCTTCGGGAACATCCCTGCCATAGTCTTATGGACAAGACTTTTGAACTTTTTCCTATGTTGTTGTTGTTGTCTTTCACTCTTTGCTCGAGTATTACAATTTGACTCTTCAATAGAAATCTCCTCCCAAACGCGTTGGTGGACCAGCACTGATTTCCTTCGCAGATTTGACCAGCCGTAATTGCCCTCTGACAATTCAAATGCAGTTCCGTATGTTGTCGACACACGATAAACAAACCGGACACTCGGTTATACAAGCTGGAATGACTCTCAATTCTCTTTTTCTTTTGAGCACTCTTCACTCACACAGATCAGACACTTCCCACTGTCTTCCTTTCTATCCTTGTGTAGTCCAAGCTCCATCGTTACTAACACACTGTATCGAGCCTTTGGTTCCTGGCACACATCCAACCATTGGACTCACACAATCCACCAGTCTTACTGGATGCACTCTTTTTCCGGGGCCGTGTGTTACTGACACACGGGTACTGACACACTGTCGTTGGTTTTCGACACACGAACAACCATGATCTGCTGGAGAGACACACTTCTCCAGAGGCTGCTCAAAAACATATTTTTTCAAACAAAATCCCTTAAAAAAATATGTTTCCGAACTTTTTGCTCATATCGAACAATAGCAGAGCTGAAGGAAGCCAAGATATTATTGGGAATTACTTCTTCTTTTCGAAGTCATTAAAAAAGTTTCTGGTTCCGACAAAAACTTCTTTTGGTCATAAAACTCCATACCTTCTGTTATCCGACTTTCCTTTAAATTGCATTTCAAGGAAACTTTCTTTACATTGAATACTTAGAAGACTTAAAAAAAGTCACGTAACATTTAACATTTCAATGGATATTTCGATAATTTCGAAAAATAGATGTGATTCTTTACGCTTCACATAACCTCAAAAAAATACTACTACTACCCTCCCACCACAAATATCTGTCTGGCCTCTAAGCATGCAATTTTCAATTCATCGTTTATCGTCAACCGTCCAATAATGAAGTTTTCCAACAAACTTTTCTGAGGGGAGAGACTTGCTATTTTTTTGTAAATGTTAATGTTCACTTAGCAGAATATTACATTATGCGGAAGCGGGGCAGGGCGGGACAGATTATCCAAAATTTTCTTGAATGACTTCTCCGTTTTTTTAAAGCTTTTAGCAGCAGCTATTATCGTATTAAGTGTTCGTCAAATGCATTTCTCAATAAAATGTAATAATATCTCTCCTCATCCTGACGAGAACGACGATGATGATGACGATGAGAATGTTATTTTACCTAATGTTGTTGTTGCTTCTGGTCGGGGTGTTGTTGTTGTCACTTTTAAGCCAAATAAATGGTTTAGCACTAATTTAAAACAAATGGAGCAACTTAACTTAAATTCTGTTGCTGTTTATGTTGTTGGGGAAAATTTTGAAAATGAAGTTTCCCAGAGCAAAGGGATTTTTTATGAGAGCACACCCAAACACACACATACTGGCACACACACAGATGACACACCTTCATGTTTTTTGGCTAAGGCATTCAGTTCATTAGTGTAGAGAATGTGAACTTTTTGATATGTAAGCATGTGTGTCTGTGTGTTTGTGCGTATGTGTTCGTGGTAATGGTAACCAAATGCATCTTCTCTAAGTGCTACACCGAGGCAAATGGAGTCCTAGGTGAAACGAACGAGCACACACATGTAGATTATATATTTTTTACACAACACCAGACCTACACTGAGGAGAAAAATTGAAACTCGAGGGGTTCGCTATAAACCAAGGAACGGGAAAGTGAAGTAGATGAAAATGTTCTCAGTGTATTTGATGTTATAGATGTGCTACTTTTCTTACATGTGTTACTAAGTATATAGAGGTTTATGGCAGTTTTGAATGGATATTAAGAAGAATGGATTAAGTCGAAAAAAAAAACAAATAAAAAATTGAGTTTCCAAAGGAAAGAATATTTTTGGAGAGGTCGTCTATAGAAGGCGTGGATTTTTTAAAGAATATTTTTTTGAGAGGTCGTCTATAGAAGGCGTGGATTTTTTAAAGAATATTTTTTGAGAGGTCGTCTATAGAAGGCGAGGATTTTTTAAAAAATATTTTTTGAGAGGTCGTCTATAGAAGGCGTGGATTTTTTAAAAAATATTTTTGAGAGGTCGTCAATAGAAGGCGTGGATTTTTTAAAGAATATTTGTTGAGAGGTCTAAAAAAATGTCGATTTTTTAAAGAATATTTTTTTGAGGGGTCTAAAAAAACGTGGATTTTTTAAAGAATATTTTTTTTTGAGGGGTCTATAAAAATATTTAAAAAATCCACGCCTCCTTTAGCTCTCAGAAAAAAGTATTTAAAAAATTCACGCCTCTTATAGACCTCAGTCCCATCTAACTGGATTAAAAATTTTTTTTAAATTTATTTGCATAAAATAAATTCGAACTTAATCCAAAATGCATAAATATAATAGTACTTATACCATTTTTCACAAATACAGGTATGTCCAACGTCATGCACATCATCATCAACGTCAGAGACATCGTCGTTGACGACAACATACATGAGTAAAACTATGAGTACATCGTACTCCAATTCCAAATTCTGTTCTGAGGAGGTGAAGAATGGATGGAGCAAGAAAAAGTAGCAGCGATGGCACAGAGCATACACACTTACCTGACACTTGAATGCCAATGTGGTTTCATTTTCGGAATTGACAGACAAAATCTTCATAGTTTCCAAAACACGACATGATAACTTGGGTAGCAATTGTACGGTATGTACGAAAAATTTGCCAACATCCTTGTCACGATTTTTATCGGTTGAGCGCATCCGTAAGACTTGAAGATTGAAGTGGTGGTAGTGGGGCCAAAAAAATGGGAGCAGTATGAGCACAGCAATGAACAGTGATCCGCCAGATGTGATGTGATAGTGACGAGGTAAAATTGTAACAGCAATGGCAACAATGTTGGGAACAACATTCCGAGAAGAAAAAAATAGGGGTTTGGGAAAAAAATTGGAGTTAGATTTTTAGCAAAACAACTTGAAAATAGAAAAGACAACACCAGCAAACAAACACATGTGGACACACAATTTGAAGAGCCAGCACACACAACAAAGTAACGAATTTGAAGTTTTTGAGCGGAACAAAAAAATGATGATAGCATCTTCCAGCAACAGCATTCAATAGCTGTGGTTTTTTCATCTTTCAAACCAGGATGCAGCATTGTCATCCTCAGCTGTGAATTGAGAATGCACTCTAAATCGTTTCCAGAGTTCATCTGTTCATTCATTTGTCCTCCCATGATAAATTGACTTCAGTTCGGCACCATAATAACCCTCATTTCATGGCATAAAGCCCCAACTACTAAGTAACGAAGGTTGTGGTGCGGTGCGATACAAGTCAACTTAGAAACGGCTACAAAAGAATGTGGTATTTGTACAACAAGAACAACACCAACAACAACAAATAATAGTGCAACAAATTGCATTGAAATTGGTAGAGAACATATTTGCCATAGCTATTAGCACCTTGACAAGGTAGCGGGGTTTGTGTGCGTGTGTGCACTGAATCGGTTATGCGGGTGTCATTTATTCGTTGTTGTTGTTGTTCTTGTTCAAACGGCAAATTGTCAATTTGTCATCAACAAACGCTTTTTGAGCATTGATTTCTCATCGATTGCTGGCTGGTTGTGTTCGCTGCGGTACGAGCTTTGTGCATCCTCAGTGTCTCTGGGTTGCGTTGTTTGTTTGTCTTTCTGGTCGGATTGGCTGGCATGACAACTAGCAGCAGCAGTCGTTGTACAATCGCCAACGTTTGTTTATTGATTGTGTGTGTGCACCATTAAAAACCAAAAGAAGATCCACTTACCTGCCCATGTTGCCCTCGGTGGCACCAGGATGAAGTCTCTTTGAATGGTATTCGGTTGGAATTCAATGCTGCCATCACCGCTCTGTGTGGCTGGGGGCTGATACAAACGGGTCTCTTGACAGTCGATGGTGTGGGGCTGAACCACGGTTATGGGTATTTCGAATAATGAGCCCTTTTGTACGCAGGATGTGTCAAATGCTCGAATTCTAAAGGAGACGAAGAAGAAGAAGAGAAAAAAGAAACGCAAACAATGAAAACATTTCAGTGAAAGTTGTAGTTGGAGAAGAAAGCAATTATATAAGAAAAATCATACAAAGCAATATAGTGCACATATACATATGTATGTAAAGTTCAACACACACACACACATACAGACATACCCTCTTACATGTCAACAGAATTCTTCAGAATTTTATAAATTCAAAGCCATACTCAACAACGATTCTCATAATACAAAAGTTAACGTGTAAATCACTTTCAAATACGTATGTACATATGCATGTGAGTATGTGAGAGTGTGTGTGTGTGTGCGTGCATCACATTGCCGCTAGTGAGGTTAGAAATGGTAACTTGACTGCACAGTAACCTTAAAGGAAATTAACACCAACAATGCGAACGTAATTTCCTTTAAGAGACGTTGTGGAATAAAATAAGGGGTAGGGGAGGTGGGTGATACAGTGGGGAGGATACAGAAGACCTTCGACAAGACTTCAGTATAAACAAGACGATTTTTTAAAAATATTTTTCAGGACCTATCAAAGCCGTAGATTTAAAAAAAAATTTTTTCGAGGCCTATCCTGTTTTTAAAGAATATTTTTTCAAGGTCTTCACAGTCGTGGATTTTTAAAAAAATATTTTTGCAAGGTCTGTTCAAGGCGTGGATTTTTTAAAGAGTATTTATTCAAGGTCTATTCAAGGCGTGGATACCCCAGAACCAATAATAGATGACGGTATAAAGTGTATACCACCTAGCCCAGATGAAGTCAGAATAGCAATTAATCGGCTAAAGAATAATAAAGCAGCAGGTGCCGATGGGTTACAAGCCGAACTATTCAAGACTGGTGGTCAGATGCTGGTAAGGAGCATGCACCACCTGATTAGTACAATTTGGCTAGAAGAATGCATGCCCAATGATTGGAACCTCAGCATCCTGTGTCCCGTGCACAAAAAAGACGATATGTGCCAACTATAGAGGAATAAGTCTCCTTTCCATCGCATATAAAGTGATATCCAGTGTGCTGTATGAACGATTGAAGCCAACGGTCAATGACATTATTGGACCATACCAATGCGGCTTCAGGCCAGGCCACCATTGACCAGATTTTCACTCTGCACAAATCCTGGAAAAGACCCACGAAAAACACATCGACACATACCACCTATTCGTCGACTATAAAGCCGCATTTGACAGCCCTATCCGTTCAGAGGTGTTTAAAGCCTTGCCTACGTTCGCCATTTCGGCAAAATTATACGGCTATGTGCCACTAAAAGGATAACTTTTAGTGGCACAAGGTCAGCATTTAAAGTCGGAAAGGACCTATCGGAGCCCTTCAATACCGAACAGTTTGTCGTGTGATATTTTTAACATCCTGCTGGAAAAGGTCATACGAGACGCAAAGGTGAACAGAAATTACAATCTGTACACCAAACATCACATGTTACTCGCCCACCCCGATGACATCCATATAATGTGTCGAACATTGCGTGCGGTAACAACCACCTTTGAACCAATTGAGAGGGAGTCTGCCAAAGTAGGTCTGGCAGTAAACGGCGAGAAGACCAAGCTGATGGTATCAACGCGCAAGACGCCCAGTAGACTCGGACCAACTGTGGAACTTGAGAACTTCGAGGTACCGTGCTGTTATATGGATCTGAAGCATGGGTAATTACGCAAGCAGATGAGGCAGCTCTTGGAGTGTTTGAGAGAAAAATTCTCCGAAAGATCTATGGGCCGATTTGCGATGACGGTAAATATCGCCGTCGAATGAACCATGAGTTGTACCAGCTATTCTCGGACATCGACATTGTTAGACGTATTGAGCTGCAGCGACTACGTTGGCTAGGTCATGTTGTGAGAATGGATGAAGATGCCCCAACCCAGAAGGCATATAAAAGTGAACCAGCTGATGGTTCACACAGAAGGGGAAGATCACAAATAAGTTGGAAAGATCAAGTGGAAGATAACATTGCCGAATATGGCCTTTGAAATTGGAAAAACTGCGCAAAAGACCGACGCGCCTGGAAACCTTTTTTAAGCTTTTAAAGAATATTTTTTCAAGGTCTATCCAAGGCGTGGATTTTTTAAAGAATATTTTTTTCAAGGTCTATCCAAGGCGTGGATTTTTTAAAGAATATTTTTTCAAGGTCTATCCAAGGCGTGCATTTTTTAAAGAATATTTTTTCAAGGTCTATCCAAGGCGTGCATTTTTTAAAGAATATTTTTTCAAGGTCTATCCAAGGCGTGGATTTTTTAAAGATTATTTTTTCAAGGTCTATCCAAGGCGTGGATTTTTTAAAGAATATTTTTTCAAGGTCTATCCAAGGCGTGGATTTTTTAAAGAATATTTTTTCAAGGTCTATCCAAGGCGTGGATTTTTTAAAGAATATTTTTTCAAGGTCTATCCAAGGCGTGGATTTTTTAAAGAATATTTTTTCAAGGTCTATCCAAGGCGCGGATTTTTTAAAGAATATTTTTTCAAGGTCTATCCAAGGCGTGGATTTTTTTAAGAATATTTTTTCAAGGTCTATACAAGGCGTGGATTTTTTAAAGAATATTTTTTCAAGGTCTATCCAAGGCGTGGATTTTTTAGAGAATATTTTTTCAAGGTCTATCCGATTTTAAAGAATATTTTTTCAAAACCTATTATGGACGTTGACGACCTATCAGAGGCGAGGATTTGTTAACAAATATGAAAAATCCACGTCTATAATAGTTCTTAAAAACATTTTTTTTAAATGCACACCTATGAAGCTTGAAAAAAAGTATTTTTTTTTTAAGTCAAACTTTTGGTATAAACATTTTTTAGAATTTTTTTATAAACAAATGTTTGGTTTTTTTCATCACACTGTGTGACACAATTTCAATAGATGACATTCACACCATTATATATAGAATAGGCCGTTAACACTCCTCACACACAACTATAATATTCATTTATTTGATTGTGTGTGTATGTGTGTTTGTATATGCATTAAGGAAGCTTTCATCTCCTTTTTCCCTTGCGGCAGATTCTACGACTACTTCACTTTCTCTCCGTCTCGGCCTCCCTCCTCGTCTCCTCTCTGCATGCATTGAAAGAAAACTTGACTTGAGTGTGAATTATATTTTATGAATATATATTTCAATTAAAAGTTGTTATACAAAATGTACATACATACTCGTATGTATGTGTGTGTGTGTGTAGACACACATCTATGCAATTTTGCATAATAATAATAATCATACGAACACAAATAATAATGGCATACACATACACCATCACACACACATAATATTCTATGTCGCCTATGGAAGAGAAACGCTTAATTCAGAGCACAAACGAAGAATTTCACTTTTAGATGACGTCGATTTTAAGTTCATTATTAAGTGTGTTTGTGAGTGTGTGTGTATGTGTGTTAGTTGTTCTAGGCCATATGTTGTCTGTGTGTATATGTTATATAAATTTATATAAATATTATTTAAATAACGAGAAGACATTTTCAATGGGATTGTTAACACTGAACTTTTTAATTAATTAAGTGGCATTCTTCTTCTTCTTCGTCTCTTCAAGCATCGCATAATTGTCATTAAACAGTATTCTTAAGTGATATTCAGTCATTGACTGATGGCGATGACATACAGACACACATGTACACATGTATATACAAAAACGTCACTTGAAACACTCACATATCCTTGCCACAAAAATCGTGTGTTTGTGTGAATGTGTGCATTCATCAATATATTCATTTACTATTTGAATTTCAGGAAATATAAATTGAAATAATCTGCAGAAATTAAATTTGTCATGGTTGAATTGAAGCCAGATTCGTACAGTAGTGTATGGATATAACAGACATTTTTAACAAATCCACGCAATGTGGGTGGCTTGAAAAAATATTGTTTTTTTAAAAAATCCACGCCAATGTTGGTGGCTTGAAAAAATATTTTCTTAAAAAACTCACTCCTATGTTGGTGGCTTAAAAAAATATTTTGACAAAAATCCACGCATTGAAGAACATTTTTATACCCTTCACCAGACTGTGGTACAGGGTATTATGTCTTGGTGCCTATGTTTGTAACAGGCAAAAGGAAGCCAGATAGACACATGGCTCCTTTCTAAGACGATTTATGCATGTTCGTCCGTCCGTCTGTCTGTTTCGATGTTAAATTGTAAACAAATTACAGTTCGCATTTATGATCTGAATTGGATGAAATTTGGCATATGTCACTTATTTGGCCCAAGAACGAACTGTATTGAAATTGGGAAAAATCGGTTCAGATTTAGATATAGCTCCCATATATATTTTCGTCCGATTTAATGTAAATGGTGTACCAAAAGCCCTTAATATCATTCGATTTGCACGAAATTTGACACAGCGTAATGAATTAGGTCTAGAATGATAAGTGTTAAGTTTCCTGAAAATTGGATCAGATTTACATATAGCTCCCATATATTTAAGGTAAATGATGCACCAAAAGCCCTTAATATCTTTGCATTTGCACGAAATTTGGCATGGCGTAATGAATTAGGTCTAGAATGATGTGTGTTAAGTTTCCTGAAAATCGGTTCAGATTTAGATATAGCTCCCACATATATTTTCGTCCGATTTAAGGTAAATGGTGTACCAATAGCCCTTAATATCTTTCGGTTTGCACGAAATTTGGCATGGCGTAATTAATTAGGTCCACAATGATGTGTTTTAAGTTTCCTGAAAATCGGTTCAGATTTAGATATAGCTCCCATATATATTTTCGTCCGATTTAATGAAAATGGTGCACCAAAGTCCCTATATATCCTTCGATTTGCACGAAGTTTAGCATGGCGTAATGAATTAAGTCCAGAATGATGAGTGTTAAGTTTCCTGAAAATCGGAACAGATTTAGATATAGCTCCCACATATATTTTCGTCCGATTTAAGGTAAATGGTGTACCAAAGTCTCTTAATATCATTTGGTTTGCACGAAATTTGGCACAGCGTAATGAATTAGGTCTAGAATGACGTGTGTTAAGTTTCCTGAAAATCGGTTCAGATTTAGATATAGCTCCCATATATATTTTCGTCCGATTTAAGGTAAATGGTGTACCAAAAGCTCTTAATATCTTTCGATTTTCACGAAATTTGGCACAGCGAATTAGGTCTAGAATGATGTGATTTAAGTTTTCTGAAAATCGGTTCAGATTTAGACATTAGACAAAAATTTAGTATAGGTTGCAGAATGACATGTTTATGGATCCAATTTCATTTTACTGGTCCTTTAAATATGCGACGTCTGTTAGGATTCATCTGTTGAATATACCCAAAGTGATGAAGGGTATCATATGATTGTTCCCGAAAAATAAATTTTAAAAAATCCACGCCTTGATAGGGTTTAAAAATATTTTTAAAAAAAATCCACTCCTATAAACAATTTTCATCCGGCCTTTGTTCCCCTTTAAAGATCACATTTTGCTTATATGTAAAGACTCCCCATATGCATGGATGTAATCAATATTCATTTTAAATTTATTTTATACTTACACAGCTGTGTGTACACCTGGTGGTAGACCCGATGGATCCACTTTAACAGCTAATGAACGTGTCGAATAGCAGAGATCCAAGAATTGGCCGCATTGTACAAACGGCTGAGAGGAAATCAAATTTAAACGGACATTGAAATTGAATTTATCCTTGGGCGCTGAAATGAAAAGAGAGAAGAAAGAAAGGATGAAATAAATGGAAATGAAAAATCGAAATAAAGTCAATGAATTGGTGGGTTAATGAATTGTGCCAAAAACAACAAGAGAAGTGACACAAATAAGGTAGAGGACAGTCAATGGCCTGTAAAATGATGGTGCGTTTGGGATGAATAAAGGGTTTCATAGTATTCGTATGTTTAAGTCAAATAGTAAAGCCTAGTTTTAGGAGGCAAATTTGAGAAATATTTCAAAAAGTATATTACATCAATTTCTAAGACGAATAATGAAGCATAGTTTTAGGAGTCAATTTCAAAATTTTGTTTTAATATTTCTAAAATATATCTCCACTCATAGCCAAAATCATATGGCTAGGCCATATAACATAAGACATATAATCTGATGGCCTTAGACTATTGTAGTGGCGATAATTTTCAAGCCAATTAGTGAAGCATAGTTTCAGGAGGTAATTTAACAAATATCAAAAAAAAATGTTTGACAAATGGGATATATTTAATGCGAATGATGATGCCTACTTTTAGACGGTAATTTGAAAAATATTTCAGATGCGAATTTTTGTGGTTGAAATATTTCAAAATATTCCTCTATCCATTGCCAAAACCATACGGCTAATAAATGTCTCTGTCATTTGTGGTCAACTGGAAATAAAATCTCGTTCATTCTTCCGTTATTGAGGTTATGAATTATCGTTTTCTTTTTTTGTTCGCAAAACTGCTGACATTGAAACCATTCTGTTCGTAACGAAATTTTTCGTTTCATTATCACAGATTTTCAATGTCATTCGATGCTAGCACAGAGTCAGAGTCATTCATTAAAAGTAACAAACCATTTGAAATAGACAAAAGAAAAGGTCGGTCAAATAGCTTCAATGGTTGACTGGTTGTTCGGTCGATTGGTTGGTTGGTTGGATGTTATCTATGAATCGTCATAATGCGGGAAAATGAGGCAAATCATTTAACAATTGATTAATGGAACAAGGTCACAACACACGCACACAGAGATAAAAGAAAGGATTTATGGATGGTTATCAATTCAATTGTGTGTGAGCCACCACAGATACAACCACAGATATATAGCTGTCATAAAAAATCGAAAACACACACACAAGGCCACAAAGGCAGAATACAATTGCGGAAAGCCATATTTAACAATCGGCATGATTGGCATAATTCATTTATGTCATTAAACAATTTTTGTTAACAAATTAATGAAATGGAAATGAAAATATTAAAAATGTTATCAAATTTAAAAAGAGATTTCCTGGCGTTGTTTTTTTTTCTGCTTCGCATTTTTATTTTGTGTTACATGCAAAAAACATTGTCCTGAGATAACATTTTAATTAAATAATTAACACAATTGTTATTTTAAAATTATAAAGCCCAACAATGACGGCGTGGCCCAACAAGTGTTTGTGTGCGAATATAGGCAGTGAGGCATTCAGTCAGTCCATCGTATGCCCGTCACTCAACCACTCATTTTGGCCATTTAAATTCTGAAAATGTTGTGGCCAGATCCTACCTTAGGTCCTACATTCCTTTCAGCTCACCTCACACACAGCTGTCAAAGAGTTGTCATCACGCAGTGAACGAACAATCGAACACACATAACTATTGTCACTTTGGTGTAACGCGACAAGGCTGGGTAATTTTAATGATAATGTTAATTAATTTAAAATATTAATTAAATGTGGCATAAAGTGGCTTTTTACAAAAAAAAAAACTGCACTCTCCCCTCCACCCCTTTTTCTCATTGGCTAGCAAAATATTTTCTGGGGAGGAAACCATCTCGCTTCACATCCCATTAAAATGCATAATGCTTGTTCAGATAAATGTAAAATTTAACACGATTTCAGATTTCCGCGCAACGCACACAAAAAAACGGTATTAAAATGTAATTAACTGTAATAAATGATTGAATTTTTAATGATGCACGAAACGCATGTTCGGCTTCTCTCTCGCACGCATGCATGCATGAATGCGTGTAATTCGCCGCTTCCAACGTATACATTACGGATTCATATACAGAAATAATTATTATTATTTCTATACATTTTGGCTTAAATGGTTTTGCAGGATTGTAGAATGAAAACATAGGGTGAGTCGCAGGACAAAAAACAAAAATTTACTATAAAAATAGAATGAAGACAAATGTCGAACTTTGACAAATTTGAATTTAATTCGCATATGCAAGTTTCGCATCAGGGCAGAATAAATACATGTTTTCAACATACGAACTTTGTAAAGCCACATAGCCCAATATGCCTGATGAGCCTCTTAACCAACGGCGAAACGCGTCGCATAATGGTGGGTACATAGGTTATTCTCCTGGCTTTCCTTTTCATTGCAAAACTTAGATCATTATGCTCGACTAGAAAGTGTATAAATAACCACATAAAAATCCACACCTAAAAAAATACTTCAAAAAATGAAAGCCTATAAATACACTTTACAAACTTGAAAAATCCACGCCCCAAAATATACTTTAACCAGTAAGGAAAGCAGTAAAGTCGGACGGGCCGACTATATGATACCCTTCACCACTCTGGGTATATTCAACAGATGAATCCTAACAGACGTCGCTTTTTTAAAGGACCAGTAAAATGAAATTGGATCCATATACATGTCATTCTGCAACCGATACTAAATTTTTCATTTGGTCAGATATAGAAGCTATATCGAAATCTGAAGCGAAACTTAACACACATCATTTTAGACCTAATTCATTACGCTGTGACAAATTTCGTGCAAATCGAAAGATATTAAGGGACTTTGGTACAACATTTACCTTAAATCGAACGAAAATATATATGGGAGCTACATCTAAATATGAACCGATTTCATTCTAGACCTAATTCATTACGCTGTTCCAAATTTCGTGCAAATCGAAATATATATAGGGACCGTTTACATTAAATCGGACGAAAATATATATGGGAGCTATATCTAAAACTGAACTGATTTTTCCCAATTTCAATGGGGTTCGTTCTTGGGCCAATATGTGATCTATGCCAAATTTCATTCAATTCGGAATGGTGAAGGGTATAAAAATCTAGGCCTAAAAATATACTTTAAAATTTCAGGCCTAAAAATATACTTTAAAAATCCACGCCTAAAATATATTTTAAAAGTCCAATCCTAAAAATGTCCATTAATAATCGACGCATAAAAATATACTTTAAAAAATCCACCCCTAAAATATACTTTAAAAATCCAGGTCCACGTCTTAGATAGGTCTTCAAAAATAATTTTTAAAAAATGCACGTCTTAAATAGGTCTTGAATTTTTTTTAAATCCAAAAAGTAATTTTTAAACAATTCTCGCCTATGATAGGTTTTTAAAAATAATTTAAAGAAAAAAATACGCACATATGATAAGTCCCGAAAAAAATTAAAAATCAGAACATATGGTTGGTCCCGAGGAAAAAAAAATAAAAATCCACGCCAATGATTGGTCTTGAAAACCTAACCTAAGGCGTGGAATAAAGATTTAAAATAACTTTCAAAAAATCCAAGCATTGAATAGGTCCCGAATAAAATTTTATAATAACTTTCAAAAAATCCAAGCATTGAATAGGTCCCGAATAAAACTTTATAATAACTTTTAAAAATCCACGCCTTGAATAGGTCCACAATAAAATTTTAAAATAACTTTTAAAAAATCCACGCCTTGAATAGGTCCCGAATAAAGTTTTAAAATAACTTTTAAAAAATCCAAACTTTTAAAAAATCCACGCCTTGAATAGGCCCGAATAAAGTTTTAAAATAACTTTTAAAAAATCCAAACTTTTAAAAAATCTACGCCTTGAATAGGCCCGAATAAAGTTTTAAAATAACTTTTAAAAAATCCAAAATTTTAAAATAACTTTCAAAAAATCCACGCCTTGAATAGGTCCCGAATAAAATTTTAAAATAACTTTTAAAAATCCACGCCTTGAATAGGTCCAATATAAAATATTAAAATAACTTTTAAAAAATCCACGCCTTGAATAGGTCCAGAATAAAATTTTAAAATAAGTTTTAAAAAATCCACACCTTGAATAGGTCCCAAATAAAAGTTTAAAATAACTTTTAAAAAATCCATAAATAATAAATAAAAATCCATAAATAATAAAATTTTAAAATAACTTTTTAAAAAATCCACGCCTTGAATAGGTCCAGAATAAAATTTTAAATTAAGTTTTAAAAAATCCACGCCTTGAATAGGTCTCAAATAAAAGTTTAAAATAACTTTTAAAAAATCCATAAATAATAAAAAAAAATCCATAAATAATAAAATGTTAAAATAACTTTTTAATAAATCCACGCCTTGAATAGGTCCCGAATAAAATTTTAAAATAACTTTTTAAAAAATCCACACCTATGATAGGTCGTTAAAAATATTTTTTTTAAAAAATCCACGCCTATGATAGAACCCTTAAAACAATTTTAAAAAATCCATGCCTATTTTAGTGAAAAAGTATGATAAATAATTTTTAATTTCTTTACGATCATCCCTAAAGTATGCAACATAAAAGCTATTGTCGTCATCAGCATTAAGTGCATCAGCATCAACATCATCATGCATCAAGTGGCTATGTTGTAGGATAACATAACGCATTAATAGCAAAATCTCATTGAGTTCATAAAAAGGACCCCATCAGACTGTCAGGCAGGCAGGCAACTGATGACGGCAACGTCAGGCGTTAACGTTGACGTTGACTGACGATGTGGTTAATGAATGAGCCAGCGAGCGAATGAATGAAGAATATGATGAACTCAGTGAATGACTAGCAAAAGCTAGCACTGAAGAGAACTGAATGGCTGACTGACTGAATGGCTGGAAGTTAAGCAACTACCAGTCTGACTGAATGCATTTTGACTGTGGCTCAATGAAAATTGCATGGTAGTCCTGCCATCATCCACATAACGCGCTTGAAATGCTTTTTTATTTATGAGAAATCAACAACAACAGCATCCTCGGCACAGCCATAACAATGACGACGACGATAACAATAAAACACCACATTATTCTTGTTCGGTTGCAGCGAACCATTCGAACCTAACAGTGCCGAACAACAAGTAATGGATTACTACTGCTGACTGCAACTGCTGCTCGTGGTGCTGGTGCTCTTAATTTAATATGCAAATAGGCGGCAAGCAAAGGACATGGAGGAGGGGAAAGATAAATTACACACCAAGCAGCCAGCTGGTGGTCGGTTCCCCAAATCTCTCACTCGTTCGTTCGCTCGCTCTATTATTATTAAAAATTATTTTTACAATAATTGTTGTTTTATTTGGGGAAAAAATGATTTTCTTTTTGTTTGGAACCACAGCAACCACAAAGGAAAAATGAATGGCTAACCACAAAGTGCTGCTGAAGGCTAAAGAGGATTCCATACAAGTGTTGGAGAAGTGAAGGGGAAAAGGAAGAGCGAACAACATAATACGATTAAAATAAGTAGAACTGATTTGTGTTAAGTTTTCAATTATAAGAAGAAGAAAAAAACATAAGCGCAGAAAGGCAATAGTCTGTGGCAAAATCGAATATTTTTTCTTGGTACCTATTAACCACAAAGGACCTATTAACCAAAAATAATGGACGGAAGATATTGCAGAGGTGGTTTAAGATACCTCTAATTAGTCGTGGTTTTCTTACAAATTATTTTTCGGATCCTATCATAGGTGTGGATTTTAAAAATTATTTTTTGAGACCTGTCATAGGAGGGGATTTTTTAAACATTATTTTTTGGGACCTATCATAGGCGTTTTTTGATACAAAAGTTATTTGACCCAATAGCCTTCATAAAATCACCTACTATCAATACCTGATAACATAGTGTAGAGTGGCTTCAATCCACATTTGATGTCTGTCCAAATTTAATTATAAAATAAAGAAATAATTAAATATTTTATTGTGGATTTACACAAAAAAACCACAAAGGAAATACGTCATGTAGTCAGTTGTACAAACAGACATACGACCAGTAAGCCGCACACACAGAGAAAGTTTATCAAAGGTAATTTGCTGGAAGGCTATCTCATCTGAGCTTTAAATGATTAGCAACACTTCATCATCAGGGACCGACCGAACGAAACATTCATCTACAGATAATAGATTTAATATACTGGGAGCTCTTAAGTACAAAGAAAATCATTATTTATTTTCAGCAAATATTTGTTTAAACCTCCACTGCACTACTCCTCCTTCCCAACCCAGGCATATTGCAAAAAAAAAACGTTTCCCATCAGTCTTTTCGGTCCACTTCTGTTGGGTTCATCTCTCCTATATCTCTATCTCTGTAACAACTTCTTGTTTATTGAGGAACATTTTATATCAGAATTTTTTTTTTTCATTATTTTAATTGAAGCATCCTAAAGTTATTTCAAGCATCCTCTTCTTCTGCTGCTTCTAGTTCTGCATTCACAATTTTCGTTTGTAGTAGGAGCAGCAACAATATTGGAGCAGATTTTGATCAAATATAAAATCAAAGAGCGAGCACCTTGGAAGCTTAGAACACGAACGAACGCACAACAAACAAACATACACCCACACACAGAATTGTATCTGTCTGTGTGTGCGTATTTCTCTAAATGAGCTTAAGTATTCTTTTCTCTGCAAACAAGTACAAAAAAAATTATATTTTGTAAGGAGGACTTACGAAAAACTTTCTGCCTTTTTTGTTTGTGTGTGTAAGTGGGTGTATTTGAAGGCCAAGCAGTACAAATGGAAAATTATAAAATAAATAAAAATTAATTATTTTTAAAATTGTTACTAAAATAAATAAGCCATAGACAATTAAAGATAAACACAAACAACAACAGCAACACCCACAACAACTGTAAGAAGAGATTTTTAAATAAAAACTTTTAGTTTCATTTAAATTAACTTATGTTAGAGTTAATGGGTCTACAAAAATTTTGTGCGAGAATATTTTCTAATAAAATTTGAAATTTATTCCAGTGAGGCAAGGAGGGAGTGAGTGTGGAGGTGGCATAATTCTAAGCCAAATGGCAAATATTTACAGAAAGTTTTATAGTCAATATTAGCCAAACAAATATTTAAGAATTTTAAATTAAATATTTAATATAGAGAATTTAATATTGGATGGCATAGATAAGTTGTACGAGCAGAGACTTGAATAATTTGGGATTAAAAAAAATAGGTGTTATCATTTTAGGTGCGGATTGTTTAAAAATATATTTTTCATGGGCATGGATAGGCATGGAAATCGAAGGCCTTAAAAAATAATTTCTAAACAATCCAAGCCTATGACAGTTCGTTAAAATCAAATTTTAAAAAATCCACGCCTATGATCCCCTTCACCTTTTAATGTTCTGCATATAATAATTGCCTCTAGAGCGACTAGAAAATCTGACAAAATTAAAGTTTTCGGTTAATTGAACCCCCTGAATGAAATCTCAACTTCACCGAAAACTATAGGCGTCGTCCTTTACCATAATCGGAACTTCATTTACAATTTCAAAGCGATCAGCGTGACATTTCCGTCCTCTAATGTAGTAATAGTAAAACTATGTACATAGTCACCTTTACCTAATTACGTATAACTCCCTCATCAGAGTACATACAGCCATATAATTGGTATCAATTTGTAGGTTAACAACTCCTCTTGGATATACTATCAATTACACGGGTATATGTCTTTCAGGAGCAAGTATATACGTCTCAGAATAAAAATTTTGTAATTTTTCACACAAAAGTCAGGGTCAATTTGACCCGCTAAATATTGACCGATCTTTATCAAAACAGGCATGCACATTCTTTGGCCCGATCCCCTTCTCCATGTAAAATTTCAAGATGTTCAGACTATAACTGCGGCCTCTGGAGAGACCAGAAAAACCGACAAAAATTAAGTATTTGGTCCATTTCATCCCCTAAATATTATTAGGGGTTAAAACAATAGGGGTCTTCATTGACCAAAACCCATCCTACATGCAAAATTTCGTGAATATTGGTCCATAACTGTCGCCTGTATCGTGTTTACAAATTATAATAGACAGACGAACGGACGGACGGACACACATGTCTATGTTGACTCAGCTAGTCGAGATATCTTCGGTATACTTAAAGGTGGGTCTAGGACCAATATTTCGCGGCGTTACAAACTATTGGGGCTGCACAAAGCTATAATACCCTGACAACATAGTTGTGTAGGGTATAAAAATCCACGCCTATACCAGGACCTTAAAAATACATACCGTTAAAATTAATTTTTAAAAAATCCATGCCTATGTTGGATTATTAAAAAAATATATTTTTTAATATTATCGCCTTGGATTCTGTTCATTGCCAGCCTACCATCCAGGTGAGTTCAGAAACCTGTGTAACAACATCTGACACCTTAAAAAAACAAATTCCCTAGCCTGCAATCGGCCTTTTTCAAAATAGCTGCCAACATTTGTTTAACTATGTCCGCAAAAAAAGGTGTCAATGTCATCATCAACAAAACGTCTGTAATGGAGACCAAAACACAAATTTCGAAGTACAGACACATTGCCGCTGCTGATATTCTTTTTTTATTATAAGTCCTTGGGCTTAAATCAATAAAGGTCGGAAAACAAATATTTGTATTTTGGCGAATAAATATCCAACCAATATTCTATTATTTAATAGGTTTCACGTGTTCTCTTTTTGATGATTGGCTTTGCCCTGCTTTATCCTTTCATCTATTTTGCTCCGGCAATAAAATAAATAGCAATATGAAGCAAAGAAAAATATACCAAAATCCAATGATATATGAATATTCCCTGGTTATCACACACACACACACACACAAAAGATGAATAAGAAAAAGAATTACAACAATAACCAAATATTACGAACTTACCAGCCTCAGTATCATTGAAAAATATTGGCTCAATATTAACATTGAATTCATAGGGTTTCTTGAGGACACCTTCACGTATGTGAATACCCTTGGCATTGTTGGGTCCGCAGCGAACAGAAAATCTGAAAATATAATCATGAGATGAAAAATAAGAAATGACAATGAGCAGGGATTTACATCTTCCGAAGATGGTGGTGTGGTATGGTGGGGTGTTCAAGGCAATCATGTAACAATATCAACAGTTCTCTTCTTGACTAACTAAATTGCTAAATATTTGTGTAGTAACAACAACAACAATGAAATAGGTACACAATTTAAAGAAGGGAATACTGAAATGGAAAATAAAACATCAATCCACACATATACACCCACCCATCCACCAACCAGTCCCACCCACCACTTTTACACATAACTTCTTACAAAACAAACAGACCTACCTTAACATATTCTCCGGAGCCTTATCATGTTCTAACAAATGCTCAAAAGCTTTTTCAACATTCAAAAGTCCACTGCCTTGGGCAAAGGGATCAACATAACCCAATTTAGTGGCAGTAGCACAAATGGCACGTTTTATGCTGAAGGGTGAATATGCAATGTTGCGTTGTTTCAGACCCGAGATGAGTAAAGCTAGAAGAAGAAGAAAGGCAACAAAAACATTAACAACAAATAAAATCAAGTAAAAGTAAGAGTAAAGAGTCAAAGTTAGCAAATAAACAAACATCAAATGGCATGGAATGGCTTTGCTTGAAATGAAATCAAATCAAATGAAATGAACGAAGATGTTTATTCAAGTGTTACAAAATCCCACTCAACTCTACTCCACTTAACCTGAGTTGTAGGTTAGTCGTTAGTTGTTGTTAGTCCGTTGTCCGTCTACCCACCTATGGCTCCGGCAACATGAGGCGCTGCCATGGAAGTTCCGTTCATAAGAACCGATTTGCTCATTGTGAATTGTGGCACCGAGGTAATGGCTCCACCGGGAGCACAAACCGTAACGCCTTGACCACCATCTATGCACGGGTCGCGGGAGGTCCATGTATAAACATTAGCTGGTAACTTTTCACGTAAGGCGTATTCGGCTTCCATCATTTGTGGTGAAACATAGGCACCGACACCAATGCACGAGGGTTGGGCAATGTCGGGGGGAGTGCCCACGGTGCACAAGGCTGGACCATGGTTGCCGGCGGAGGCAACCCACACTACACCATATTTATTAACCACTTCGCTCATTAGTTCACCAATGCGACTGTAAAAGGAAGAAAAAAATATAGAGAAAGGGAAATTGTTAAAAAAAAATAGAAATAGAATACAAAATCAGTAAGTACAAAATAACCTACACCAAGTGCTCTACACCACGTGCTCTTAGAATATTTTTGTAACCTCGGTACATAATGCAAAATTTCGAACCAATCAATCCTAGGGGCTTTTGGTGCAGCATTTAGAAGAAATCGGATAAAAGTATATATGGGAGATTTCCGTCTATTCGTAACGAGGGTCAAAAGTTCCTGCCAATGGGACAAACGTAGAGTCTTTGGTACATTATTTCCTAAAAATCGGCGGAAAATATATATGGGAGCTATATCTAAATATGAACAAATTTCAATGAAATTTAGCACACGACATTCTAGGCTCAATTCGGTACGCTAGGGCACCGTTTAGTATATGTGGGAGCTATATATAAATCTGAACAGATTTTTGTAGAACTGGACACACCTCAGTCTAGGCTCTATTCAGTAAGCTGTGCAAAATTTCGTGACATACGGACAAACGTAGAGCCTTTATATTTAAATCTGAACCGATTTCAATAAATTTTAATATTCCCCATTCAAGACTTAAATCGCTACATTATACAAAATGTTGTGTCAATCGGTCAAACATAGGGCTTTTGGTAGACCTTTTACGTAAAATCCGACGATAATATAAATGGACGTTATATATAAATCTGAACTGATTTCCACCAAACTTGACTCAATTCGGTACATTGTGAAAAATTTCATCGCAATCGTTGGGTATTTGGTGCACCATTTAGATGAAATCGGAAAAAATATATGGGAGCTGTATCCAAATCTTGTCCGATTCCCTTAAAATTCAACAGATGTCATTCTAGCCTCAATTTGGAACGCTGTGCCGAATTTTGTTGCAATCGGACAAACGTTGGGTATTTGGTCCACAACTTAGATGAAATCAGAGCGAAAATGTATATGGGAGCTATACCGAAATCTGAACAAATTTGAATAAAACTTAACACACGCCGTTCTAGGCTTAAATCGACGAGCTGTACAAAATTGTGTGCCAATCATTCGAACGTAAAACCTTTAGAGCAGCTCTTACATAAAATCGGACTGCAATATGTTTGATAGCTACCTCGAAATCTGAACTGATTTCCATCGCTTCAGTACATGCCGTCCTTGGGTCAAATAAATGAGCTGTGCAAAATGTCACCGAATTCAAATAATTAACGAGATTTGTAATTTGTTTACATAAAAATATATGGAGAGACAGAGACATAAATGGCCGGAACAACGAACGGACATGCATAAATCGACTCAGAAAGGGATTCTAGGAATATTCTGATATTACAGTTACAGATATTGCTATAGAAGAACCATAGAAGATGTTTTTCATATAGAATACCTTTAGAAGTTCTTCTGCCGAACCCATTGAAATCCCTTCGAATGTATTTTGTTCATAGAATACGTTTGGTTTATAGTTGATCATTCGAAAATCATATGCCTATATAAGTCCTGTAGAAGATTATGCATTTAGTACATGTTATGCTTATAGAAGTCTTTTAAAAGGTCTACTGACTTTAAGGTATTTGGCTCATAGAATACCATTAAGAAGTTGTCTATAGCCAATGGAAGATCAGACGGTCTTATGCATAATGAAGCAATTGGCAAGGTTCTATTGTCTATATTGCCTCGGAATGGTCTTTAGTCGAAGAAGACTTCTTGAAAGTCTAATATCTATAAAAGACTTCTATGAGCGCTTCTGTCTATTGTCTTCTGTCTATAAAACCCTATGGAAAATCTTCTGCAGTCTGAGGTAGGTCTTTTAATTTTTAGAAGACCTCTAGAAAATATTCTGTCTTTATTCGGTCTTTTATAATCAATTTGGTTGGAAAACGTGTCGGAAATCGCCAAAATACCGAAATTTGGGAGGTTCTGTTATATGGGGGTGGGTTATAACAAAACAAGGACCGGTATTAATAATTTCAGATAAGAAGATTTGTCACCCAATAAGAAACCAAAATATCAAATTACAGGTAATTGAGTTAAAAAACAAACCCTAACTCTCCAAAATACAGAAATTTTGGGAGGAACCATTGGTGGTTGCCTTAAAAATTGGACCAATATTGATCATGTTTTGTATGAAGTTTTGTCGGCCTATGAGAACCTAAAATAAAATATATAAAATATATATCTTAAATATTGCGACCTCCATTGTGATTTCAACAGACGGACGATAATGGCTGAGTTCACACACACTTTTATTCGAATCAATAACATATACGGGGTCTTCGGAAAATATTTGGACGTGTTGCATACCGCATGACAAATGTAATATACCCTCCACCTTACTATGGACTTTATAAAAAAATGAAAAAACAATAAAACTTGTTTCCGTTTGTTTTTGTAACATCCCAGCGGATGAGGAAGTGTTTAACATTTGGATAAAAAAATACTTTTGAAATTCCCTTTGTATTCTTGTGGTTATTGCGAACAAAACTGTTTTGTATCTGTTTGTAATAATGTTGCCACTACGATGGATGCATTTACTTGTGTGTGTGTGTCGCTTTGTGTGTTCGGTGTGTGTGGGTGCGGGCGGGCGGTTTCCTTGTATAAGTTCGTTAGTATTCTTTTTCTGTTTTGTTTTGGTGTTACAAGTAGCTGCAGGAGATTTTGCTAACAAAAAAACACAACACGAACACAAACTAACATCGACACAAGAAAATATGCAGTCAATAATAAAAAGAAGATGAAGAAACAAACAATTACCTTAAGTAAGGTTTTCTTTTTCTACGTCGTTTCTTATCAATTGTTTCAGGATATCTAGGATTTATTTCATTAGTTTTGTAGCAAACAGCAGTAGTAGTGGGTGGCAGTGGCAACAATTTCAGTTTTGCAGAATGTTTTTCGTTTGTTTTGTGCGCGCCAAAAACAACAAAAAAAGAATACAAAGGAAATTTCATAATATTTTTCATGTTAAGTTTTTTTCTATTACTAACTTTTTGAACTTTTTTACTTAACTGTAAATAGAAAAGATTTTTTTTTTTTTGTATTGGAATTTGTTACTTACCCACAATTAGACCAATGGGAATGTTCACCATAACTCATATTGATAACATCAACTTTACGTCCAGTACGACATAGTTCCATAACTTTCAACATTGCACGCACCAGACCTGTACCCGTCTCCATGGAGCCGAGACGACCATCGCCAATAGTTAGTGAAACAATTTTGGCATTGGGAGCAACACCATCGAGATCTTTGGATGCATGATTGCCACTGGCAATGGATGCCACATGGGTGCCATGGGAAGCTGTAAGAAAAAACAAAAGGAGGAATTGAATGTAAGTTAAAGTTGTAAAATTAATTAAATTTTCATAACTGAAAAGATGGAGTATTATAAATAGATTTGCCGCAATATAATCTTAGAACCTTTATTTAAACCACTTGGAAAAACATCATACATATACTATTTTTAAATCAATGAAAAATTGCTCGTCAAAAAATCTGAACCGATTTCAACAAACCTTATCACGCATTCGCTATGCAAAATTTTGATCAATCGGACAAATATCGGGATTTTGGTGTATAATTTACAAAAAATCGGACGAAACTATATATGGGAGATATATCTAAATCCGAACCGATTTTAACAAAACTTCGCAGAAATCAGTCTGGACCTAATTCAGTACTTCAGTAGTGTAAAATTTTGTCACAATCGGACAAATGCTGGGAGCTTGGTGAATCATTGAAAAAATCGGACGAAACTACATATGGGAGATATATATAAATCTGAACCGATTTTCCCCGATTTCAATAGGGTTCGTCCTTGGGCCAAATAAGTGAACTGTGTAAAATTCCACCCAAATCGGATCATAAATGCGACCTGTACTTTGTTCACAAAAATACATGGACGGACGGACATTCGTAAATCGACCCAGATAGTGATTCTATGCATATTCTTAAAAGAAATCATGGGCCTATCTCGATACCTTTTGTCTGTTACAAACATATGCACAAAGACATAATACCATGTACCACAGTGTGGTGAAGGGTATAAAAACCCTCAATAGGACTTTTACGAACAAAAAACAATTTATAATAAATCGAGTCCATCTTTGAATACCCTGCACCATGAGGTCAATATTCAATGTACCTAAAACCGATCGTGTCTTTTATAAGGGGGCTTCTTCGAACTTGACCTGCCTGCAGACAAAAGACGATTCTATGCAAAAATTTTGCAATCTATCTCAATAACTTCAGAAGATAGCGTGATTACAACAGACGGGCTGATGGATAGGGCTAGATGGTTTTATAATTTTAAATAAAGAATATTTACGTTATAGGGTCGGAAATAAATATTTCGATGAGTTACAAACGGAATGACAAAATTAATATACCCTCCATACTGTGGTGGAGGGTATAAAAAAGGCTTTGTAATATTTTGTATAGACTTAGGGTCTTAAAATTTTCTACAGGCAATTTGTTCATATAGACAGAAAATATTAATGGTATTCTATGCGCCAAAGGGCTTCAATGGGCTAGACAGAAGATCTTCTACAGGTTTTCTAAAGGCTTAAAACTTCTACAGAAGGTCTAACGATTTGCTATAGATAGAATTTCAGATTTAGATATGATTATTTAAATATTTTCCCCCAATGTTGTTTCTTTTATAAAACAATAATTGAATTTCCTTTGAAATTAAAATAATACTTACAACACATGCCAACAATTTCCAAAACATCACCCTCATCGTGGACATTAATCGAAACCGAAAGATAATCATCGACATTCTTGACTTCATGGGTTTTGGTGTACTCGCCAATGTGTAGGGCCTTTTCCAAATCACCCTAAAAGAATAAACATAAATCATAATATCTGAAAATTCAAAATAAATTCAATTCCAAAAATCCCATACCTTTTCAGTGATATCAATGCAGGCCTGCCAACCATTTTTAGTCTCATATAAAATACAATCGAATGCCGTTTTAATATCGGGATAATATTTTTCATAGGCATTTAACATTTCTAAGGTATTGTCGAGATCTTCTTTGATCAGTTTTTTATCCCATGATAATTTGGAAGAATCTGCAAGAGCAATGAGAAATTCAATTAATCATAAAATTCGATTTTTTTAATGTTTACTTTTTTATTGACTCACCTGGATTTTGTGCTTCAAATTCATTGATTTTTCTAGAAATTTCAGCAATGGCAGTTTTATGTGGACCATCCCATTCTTTGAGTTTACGGGCATTTGTAAGATTTTCACGCACCTTTGAGGGGCAAAGATCATAGAAACGTTTCAAGCCCAAACGAAATTCCCCATTCGGTGAGGTGTTATTGGCAATCATATCGGATGTTAGCTGTACAAAAAAATATTAAAAAAAAGTTCAGCAATTAAGCACTGAAGAGATGTTTCACAAAGGTTATATTTAGTTGGACCGAATATTTTTAAGATAGGGCTTAATAAGGGAACTATGTCAAATATAGAGCCACACTGGTCATTTCTACCTTTTTTCAAATGTCACATCTAACCTTGTTTTGCATTTATTAACCAATTGAAATGAAATTTTGCAAAGATCTTTTTTTTTTTTTGAAAAAAAAAATTGTCATATTTAGATATAGCAGGTCCCATTGGAATTTTTCTTCAGTTTTATATAAACGGCGTAACAATGACCCTATGTTGCCACGAAATTTTGCACAACATATCACAGTATATAATAATGTTTTGTAAGTTTTGTGGAAATCCATTCAGATTTAAACATAGCTCCCATATATATTTTCGTTCGATTTTAGGCAAATTGTTCACTAAATACCCAAAATTTTTACTCATTAAATTTTCCTTCAATCATATTGGAATTTTCCCTTGATCCAATATCTTATTTAAAATTCCTATTAGAACATTTTTAATTCCTGACTTGTTGACTTTGTCAATTGGACTTTCCTAACAAAAGACCGTAATTATTCAAATTTCTTATTAAAAAAATAAAAACTAAAATCTTAATACCTATCTCTCATCTTTGCCGCGCCATATATTCAAATGCAGTTTTTCGGTTCTACCTGGTCACCCCAACACAAAACTTGCAAAGTAAACATAAACTTTTGTTGTTGTTACATGCATTGCAGTTCGCCCCAAAATAATAATGATGACAAGTGCCGAAACTTACAACAACCGCACCAACAAAAACAAATTAACACGCACTCACCTTCAATTGTCTGCCGGATAGACCGGTAATGACACCCTTGTCATCTGGAGTCACTTTCTTGGTGACATTTACATCACCACAACCGGTACAATCGAAACGTTCAATGACCTTTACAGTCTTGCCATCGCATAGGGTCTGGAAGAGAGCGGGAAGATAACACATTAATAATAAAATATCACATGATGTCAATGATGATATGGCAGGATCTGCATCAATGTATTGGTTGCCAAAATATTCTAACCTCCAGACCGGTTGCACGGGGATCCACACCGGAATCAAATATGGCAATGGTTACATCGCGTCCATCATATTCCGGATATTTTTGCAGGAAGTTCAGAACACTTGTCTCCGCCTTGGGCACCAAAGCTGCAGTTGGGAATGGAGTTTCCACTACTCCACTATCGCCGCTAAATTTGGTCATTGTTGTTGTTGCGTTTGAGAATTCAACTGGGAGCTGTTCTAAGGCAAAGGCTGGAATTTGTTTTTCCTCCGGTGTTGTTGAGCGGTAACGTCGTCCCAAATAGGCCACACGTTGTATTCTTCCTGTTTGTTGTTTTTGTGTTCGAAAATTAGAAGTTTATTTTTGGATTTTTAATAAAAAATTTCAACTTTGTTTTTGGACAAAAGAACTAAAGAACTCTTTTTTGCAGAAGCACAAAAACAACTGTCATTGAATGAAATTGCGGAATTGTTGTTTTTGTTTTGTTTGTGAGATATGCCAAAGCTCGGCGCTGTGAAAATACCAATCAAATGAAAAGGCGCACAATAAAAACTTTTTGAGGAGGGGAAACGATTTGTTTGAAGAGAAATGTTTTTTAATTGTTTGGCAACGCGAAACATTTTCTGGCAATTTTTTTGAATTTTTAAACAGATAAGAATATTTATTTGTTTGACAGGTAACACAAGAAAATAATATCGATCAAATGTAGTTCATAAGTTATAGAGAAATTATTGCTTACAGTTCAACTACCTACACATTTAAAAACCAGTGAGCAGAGCGGTATAGTCGGGCGGGGCTGACCATACGATACCCTACACAACAACCACGAAATTATAACTTTCTGCGGATGTTTATTCCGATGCTGGACAATATTTCGTGATATTTCAGCACCTCTTACTTTAAGTAACGATAATATAATTGGTATCAATTTAAATGTCAAACTCAATGTCAAGGTCAATGTCCTTCAGGGGTAAATATATACGACATAGAATACAAACTTCATCATTTTTCACACAAAAGTCATGGTCCATTTAACCCGCTTAATATTGACCTATCTTCATGTAAATGAGGCGCGACTTTTATATAGAGGCTATGACGCAGGATCCGTTTTAAAGATGTTCTAGACCTTAAATATACCTAAAATGGTACGAGATATTTATAGATAAGCTATATCATGACATTTTTCTTCAAATGACAAACTCAATGAAAATTTATACCCTTACGGTGAGCAGATCTGAATGCCAATCTACCCGTCTACCCGGTTTTGGATAATGAAAACTCCAGAAATTATTTATAAGTCCTCAAATATTCTCCTCCAGAATCTTATCAAATTTCATAAAAAAGAATTATTTTCTACTTCCTCGTTCCACTTGTCAAAGAAATTTTTATGTGTGGAAAAAATGAAACGGCTTTTAATATAATCCTATGTCTAGCTGAAGGTATGTTAAGCGTTTTCGATAATACAGTGCTGTGAACATCAAAATCATTCAATTATAGAAGTTATCGTATTGAAATTTACGCTATTGTTCGATCAAAATTTCCCATAACATTGTAATCTATTTCTACTGCTACCCCATTGAATGTACCTATCTCTCTTCTGCCCAATTATATTGCCAAATACTTTATCAAACCGTTAAAATAGCTTTGGCAACACTAAATTAAAGTGTCAACTATTCTCTCTAATTGGCATCTCTCGCAAACAGCTGTTTTGACATTTCGTATTTCATCCAATAGTCAATTGTCGATTTTTAGATCCCTGCTTAGTGGCTATTTGTCTCAGGAGTAATTTTTTGTGGATTCCTAAGCCAAGAAATTCCCATAAAAAATGTGGTTCGAAGTCTTACCATCGGCTGTCATCATCACTGTGGCCTTGTCTGTGCCCACATATGCCATGTATGGCCTGCAAAAGCTTGTCCTGGGCAATGTAAGTTGACGTTGACACAATCCATTGGCCGTGCCATCAGCCGTCAATTGTTGTTTAGACCAATTCTTATATAATCGGAAATTAAAATGAAAACTTTTGGATTTTCTTAACATTTTGATTGGATGACGGAACCGGTGAATTGGAAAAATTGATTGGCAACAAGCTACGGCACACTTTTACACATTGAATATGAAATAAACGCTGTTTTTCTTTTCGGTTTTTTCCACAGGCCTACCGCCGCAACTTGGACGCCCGCTTCGATCGTGTTATGTATTTGCGCGACAGACGACTAACCGACAATCCCTACAATATGAATGTAAGTATTAGTTGTGCGTGTGATGGGGTCAGTGTATTTTTGTTGTTGTTGCCGCAACGCACTTGTAAGAACGATCTATCGCAACGTACCGCCTGCTTTTCGGTTGGAGTATTGGGTGCAGCAGCAGATTTAAGATTAGACTTCGAAAGTGAAGTAGAACATTGTTGGAGACCGATGTGAATTACAATTTACGTAGACCACAACCTTTCTCCTAAAGAAGGTTTAATGTTGAACAGAATGATAATTCTTTACGAGATGTTGTGCCGGATTCCGCATGGACAATTGTCCGGATTTTTCCCCACAAGAACACCTTGTATTTCTTCATGTAAGAGTATGGAAGACTCTGGGAACTATATGACTAGTGTGAATGAATATTAGAAATTCGAAAATTTTTTGCTTTCTTCATCATGAACTTTTTCCGAATCCTTCCCGTCAAAATTTTAAGATGAAAATATAATTTGACACGAAAAAGTGACTATAATGCATAGCTAAATTTGCATCTGTCCGTAATATAAACCCATTCTACGCAGCCAAGAAATGTAAAATCAGCGAAGCCACTGGAATCGTCTGCCAGCGTCATTGTGTAATTCTGGGAAGTGTTTAAAGCTCAATGAACCCCCTCAGTTGTTTTTATAGACGAGCTGAACGAAGTTTCTACAGAGGAGCTGACGGAAGTCCTTATAGACGAGCTGAACGAAATCATTAAACCTGAAGGGAGTCCTTATAAACGTGTTGAAGGGTGTCTATAGACGATGATTATTGATAGACAAGCTGAAGGCAGTCCTTATATACGAGTCTTTTTAAACGAGCTTATAGATGAGCTGAAGGGAGTCTTTATAGACGATCTGAGGGGATTCTTTATAGACGAGCTGAAGAGAGTCTTTATAGATGAGCTAAGTGAAATCTATAGCTGATGATTAATTATAGCCAAGCTGAAGGAATTCCTTATAGTCGAGCCATTTTAGACGAACTGAAGGAATACTTTTTAGACGAGCTGAGGGGAGTCTACAACTATTAGCTATTTTGAACGCATTTTTAACAGAATTAGCCGAAATTTGTTTATTGTTATAACAGATTAGTCCACTTTATGGGTTAGCCACTCCTAAAAGGGTATCTCCCAAATTTGGGAATTTTGTAACATCGTTCGACCGAATTGGTTGTAGTTTTGTAGTTCCTATTGGGGAAAAATCTTCCTACCAAAAATAATCAATATTGGTCCAATTTTTAGGGTAGTACCACGTAACGGTACCTCCTAAATTTTGCTATTTTGAGGATTTTGGTAGGCTGTTCGATCGAAATGACTGTCATTTTGTATTTTGAATTCTCATTAGGTAGGAAATCTTTTAACCAAAAATTATAAAGTTTGGTCCACTTATTAGGGTAGCCCCTATATAACGATACCTCTCAAATTCGGAATTTTGGGTAGGTTTCTTAACCAAATTGACTGTAATTGGGTATTTTTAGTTCTTTTTTGGATAACAGGTCTTACTAAAAAAATTATCAATATTGGCCAACTTTTTTTGAATAGCCCTACCTAAGGCTATCTTCAAAGTTTCGGTATATTGGGCACTTTTTTCAGCCAAATTGGATGTAATTGGTGGGCCTCACTAAAAGCTACCTCCCAAATTTCAGTATTTTGGGCATGACTTCTCAACCAAATAGGATGTAATTTAATATTTTGAATTTTCATGGGGTAGAAAATCTTCCTACGAAAATCTTTTAATATTGACTCAAGTTTTGGGGTAGGACACAGATAACGGAACATTTTTTTTTTTTTGAAATTTTGGATAATTTTTCAAACGAATTGCCATTGGTGAAACTATGGGTAAAATATTCGGTCCGATCGAATTTAACGATTTTTTTGTTATTATTTGGGTTTTTTCATTTCAATTTATTTTTAATGTCACCACTAATGTCCTTTCTTTTCCTCTCCATTCTATTTTTTCTTTACAGGGCTTGGAACAAATTCCTGATCAATAAATTAGCTCTAAGCTTGTAACGAAATCATAGTTTAATCTGCCAAGCAAAAAAAAATCCATGTGTATTTAAATTGAATTAAATAAAGATAATTATCCTTTGAAAAATACAACAACAAATACTGTGTGGTATTACTTCATTTAATCGACTATAACGAATAGTGTCTTTACTTCAGCGATGGGAATTCAGCCAGTCAAATTGATGGCGCAAAGTTTCTTGTTATTGTTTTGAAATGAAAACAACCCTGTCCTGACTGCACAAAATCCACCCCTATATCCTTTCACTCACAGTGTGTTGAAGTTAATGGCTGGCTGACTGGTTGGTTGGTGGGTTGTTTGACTCTTACTTTTTTGCCATTCTGTGTGTTCGGGTGTAAATGTTCTTCTGTATGTTTTGTGTGTGCGGTAAAGAAAAACGGAATACGCTCCTACAAACTTTTCACCAAATAATGACAATTGTGCAAAAGGCGTCGTCGTAATCATTGTGATTATAGTTTGGTTAGTGAAATTAAGTCGAAAAAATAGTATATACTAAAAATTAAGGAATTTTATTTAAGTCGGAGAAAAAGATGAATTCTAACGGAGTCGCCATGCTTCGCTGTTTTAGTTATTCACAAAAGTGATAAAACATTACTTTCAAGAAATCGAAAAGTGTATTCATTTTGTTGTAGTCGAAGGTAAAGCGGTTTGTTGTTTGTGTGAAAATTCGAGAATCAAAACAAAATGAGAGTTGGGGATGTAAGTCAGCAACGGTGGCGATATTGTTACCATCGTCAGGAGGCTATATTTCATGGAAAGCATATAGTTCCATCTTTTATAATATTTTTGATACTTTTGGGAGTTGTCAACTTATCCACGGCCGCCATAGCACATCACAATGCTGCAGAGCATAGAGAGTTTAACAGCGCTGCCACCGTCCATAATCAACATAATCACAGCCACAACAACAACAACCGTCCAATTAGACAACAAAGAGAGGCAAGACATGATGAAGAGAAGGGCTATTGTGCCCCCTACAATGGGAAGATATGTAAAAACTTCATCAACACTCAGGTATGGTATAGTCTGGAGGATCCAACGGGTGGCTGGAAAAATGAGCAAATTGCCACAGCCTTGTGGGAGGAACTTATTAATGATTTGACAGGACTTTGTCGTACGGCTGCGGAGGTAAGTAGTAACATCTTTTGCGATCATAAATAAAATAACTAAATTGTATCGTTTCCTTCCAGAAATTATTGTGTGCCTATGCCTTTCCACGCTGCCTAATGGAAAATGGCAAAACGATACGTCTACCCTTGTGCTATGAAGATTGCATGGCCACTCATCTGCAATATTGCTACAATGATTGGGTCCTTATCGAAGAGAAAAAGGAACGTAACATGTACATCAAAAGTCGGGGACATTTTCGTTTACCCAACTGTTCGATTTTGCCAAAATATAATAGTACTGCCAAAAAACCCACCTGTTCGTATGTTGGCCTCACCGAAATCGATGAAAAACAGGCGACATGTAGGGAAATTTATTTGAATTATTTAAATAGATAAATTAATGATGATTCGATAACAATTTCAGATGATTGCCGCAATGGTAATGGTCGCTATTATTTGGGTACCATGAATGTTACCAAATCGGGTATACCCTGTCAACGTTGGGATACCCAACATCCACATAAGCATATCCAACCGCCTTTGGTATTCCCACAAATACAAGAGGGAGAGAATTATTGCCGTAATGCTGGTGGTGAGGAGCCGTATCCGTGGTGTTATACCGTGGATGAATCTGTTCGCTGGCAGCATTGTGATATACCCATGTGTCGTAAGTATTTTTTGAAGTTTCAAGGCTAGGATTTTTTAAAAATAATTTTTTCAAGTTTTCACAAGGCGTGGATTTTTATAATACATTTTTTAAGTTTTCACAAGGCTTTTTTTTGAAGTTTTCAAAAAATTAAATTTAATTTCCGATTTTTTTCTTTACAGCCGACTATGTGGATCCCACCCAAACCAAAGAACTGGAACCCATGCAGATGGACACCTTCTTGACACCATATGTCATTTTCGTGGTATCCGCTTTCGGTTTCGTGGCCATTGTTTGCCTCCATCTAATTGTCCTGCTACTCTATAAAATACTCAAACACAAGGAGCTGCAAACACAACAACTGCAACAACAACAAAACCCTGCCAATCAAAATCCCTCCAATAATGAATGTAATCGTAATGCCAATGAAAATATTTCGTCCAGTCGTGAAACATTGGGTTCCAATGCACTATCGAATTTAAATAAATTCGGTACGATAAAAAGTGTAGGGAATGTTGCCCTACATAATAGTATTATTGTTGAACCGCCGCCAAAGCCGAAATTAAATGCCAAATTGGAGAAATTGGAATATCCCAGATCGGAGGTGGTGTACGTGCGGTCATTGGGTCAGGGGGCATTTGGTAGGGTGTTTCAGGTGAGTAAATGGAATACAAATTTAATTTATTGAATTTTTTAATAATAAATTGTGTTTCTAGGCCAAGGCACCGGGTCTGGTTCCCGGAGAAGATGATCTAATGGTGGCCGTTAAAATGCTGAAAGATGATGCCAGCGACCAAATGCAAATGGATTTTGAACGTGAAGCCTGCCTCTTGGCTGAATTTGATCATCCCAATATTGTAAAGCTGCTGGGTGTTTGTGCCCTGGGTCGTCCCATGTGTTTGTTGTTCGAATTTATGTCACCCGGTGATTTGAGTGAATTTTTACGCTCTTGTTCCCCCTATGCCACACATCAGATACATCATCGTGAACCCCTTCATGAGGGTCATCTGCTACAAATTGCCGCCCAGGTGGCAGCTGGCATGCTTTATTTGTCCGATCGTAAATTTGTTCATCGTGATTTGGCCACCCGTAATTGTCTCATCAATGAACAGATGGTTGTAAAAATTGCCGATTTTGGTCTTTCGCATAAAATCTATCTGCAAGATTATTACAAGGGAGATGAAAATGATGTTATACCAATACGTTGGATGCCATTGGAATGTATTCTGTATAATAAATTCTCAATAGAATCGGATGTGTGGGCATATGGAGTATGCCTCTGGGAGATATTCTCATTTGCTCTGCAGCCATATTTTGGTATGACCCATGAAGAGGTTATTAAATATATTAAAGATGGCAACGTTTTGGCTTGTCCGGATAATACACCGATGTCGGTGTATGCCCTTATGCGTCGCTGTTGGAATCGCAAACCAAGCGATCGTCCCAGTTTCAGTGAAATAAATCATTGTATACAACATAGTATAGCGGAATATGAATATAAAACTACATTAGGTATGGGTAATTGAAACTGTTATACTACAACAACACAACTAAAAGACACACAGACACAGATATACAATAACGCACATTAATGTATTATAGATTTTATTTTTTTAAGATTATTGTTTGTAGCCAGGCACCAGGAGAGGAAAGTGAGTACTTGAATTTTTAAAAATAATGTTTTCCAAGACCATCTGTGGCGGGTTTTTTTAAAAAAAAAATTATGACCATTTGTCTCAAATTCCCCCTGGTGTTGACTACAACTATTTACGGCTCTGCCAAACTATACACAGTTCTTTTTGAAATAACTTATTTAAATTACAACTTATGTTCCTTTTCGGTTACTTCGAATATTTTTTTATACTATACACTAAATTACAACTACACTATATACATAACTCTATTTCTTATTATTGTTGTAAATTTCTTGTCAACGAATAAAACAAAACAAAAAGGATATTGGACTTCCATTAAGGTTAGAGGAACTTTCCAAAAGGTCTTCCTTTATGGAATGTTGTCATTTATTTATTTTCCAACGAATTAATTATCAAAAAAAGCAAGAAGTAAATATATATTTAATTCTAATTTGTAAGTCATAATTAGTATAACAGTTTATATAACACAAAACAAAAACCTTCATAATCATATAACAGAAAAAAAAACAATAGTAGACTTGAAAGAAAGTAATCAAAACATAATCATTTTATGGATTTCAATCGCAAATATATATTTTAATTTTATTGAAATATATATATTGGACTTGGTGGCAACACGCGTAACACTGGATTTGTCATAGCACCTTAGATTTCCGGTAGTTAAGGTAGATTTTTAAGAACGATTTTATCCCATTTTAATTTTTTGAATTCTGTTATTTTTTATCAATCATTTAAATGTTGTGAAAATTGAATAGAATTTTTAATAATAAAAAAAAACAACTGACTACCACATGAGGAAATTTTATAAAACAACAAACAAAACAAAAACGTTTAGCATTTATCTTCGATAGTAATGTATACAAAAAAGTTTTATGGATTAGCCATATTAGCAATAAAGTTTTTCATAGAAATTATACAAAAAAAAAAACATATTTGAAACGAAACAAACATATATATAGGGATGATAATATGGTATATAACCATTTATATAAATACAACCACACACATACACAATCATATTATATTATTATATACAATATTATATATACAACAAGAAGAAAAAAACCAAAACAAGAATAAAGATCTCCATTATGTGTAACAATTTTTAAATTGATTTCAGAAACTATTGTTGTTTTTATTATTGGGGAGGAAATTTTTGCATTTTTGTGATTTTTTTTTTCAAAATTCAAAAGTGCATATATCATGGTACAATTATAAAAGGTAACAGCAAATCCCAGCTGATTTGATTCCAACGTAATACTAGTGTCAATATGAATTTGACAAATTATGTTTTTAAAAATCACCCAACAGGAAAATTGGGAACGCATACAATTTGAAATTGTTCTTTATTAAATGTGCTCTTGTATTCAATTTACTCAATCTGCCTGCTGGGAAAGTTTGAGGAAGCAAATCTTTCTTCAAGGAATAACTCGCTATTCCCAGCATTTTCATATGTGTTACACATATAGCGATAGAAATATAAATTTGAAAGATTTTCATTCATGTTTTTCAATTTTTATTTTGAGGATTCGAAAATATTTCATTTTCAAAATAAAAATAATTTGATGATAATTTGTTTGTTTGTTTACATTTTTCTGTCAAATGAGTTGACACTAGTAGAACTTACAACAACAAATTTCCATGTGGTTGTTGTATCGTTTTTTGTACAACAACACTTGCTGTTACCTTCTATTATTATACCATGTGCGTATATTAACAAAAATCAACATCCAACAAAGGGTGGATGTTGAATGTGGGTAATATTTAAACATGTATTCACATATTACTTTATTTTCACAGAAAACTGCATATGTCAGAAAAACTAAACAATCCACACATTAATATCGACTATAAATTGAATTTGAGTACCATTTAGTTTCATGAGTCGAGCTCTATAGTGATCCTTAATCTAAGTTTCAGGATTCCAACTCTATCGGCTCACTCACAATACAAATTGTACCAAATTTAGTACACAATTGTAGGAATATCTAAAACCTCCTTCTTACCACAAACCTACACCCCCATAGTGATCTTAAATCCATGTTTCAGGGTTCCAACTCTATCGGTTCACCCACAAATCAAATTGTTCCAAATTTAGTACACAGTAAGCGAATTTCTTAAACTTACTTATTACCACAAATCCTAAATCCAAGATTCAGGATTCCAACTCTATCGGCTCACTCACAATACAAATTGTACCAAATTTAGTACACAGTAGTACAAATTTCCAAAACATTATACATACCGCTGTCCTACCCCCATACTGATCCTAAACCCAAGTTTCAGGATTCCAACTATATCGGTTCACCCACAAATCAAATTGTACTAAATTTAGTACATAGTAGTACAAATTTCTAAAACTGTTCCCGTTCTATCGGTTCACCCAAATTTAAACTGTACTGTGATTATAGTACGATTTAGAACTTTTTGTACATTAATGTTATTTTCAAATTCTAGGAATCCAGCTCGATTTGTATCACCAAATTAAAATTGTACCATATAGTACTTTTCGTACACATGAGTACACGCTTTCAAAACCATCTCCTTAAATAGACCCTACACCACAACCCTTATTCGCATTCTAAATTTCAAGTTTTTAGCTCTATTCATTCACATGCTACAAAATTGTACCAAATTTAGTACATTTTAGTACTTTTGGCATACTTAAAGTTCTACACTCGGTCAGTGACCCTCATTTAAAATTTAAGCGTTCTAGCTCTACCGATTCGCCAAATACAAATTGTATCACATTTAGTACTTTTCGTACCGTTCTAGTACGAATTTCCAAAAACCCAGCCTTGTCTGTCACCTTTGGACCAAGTGTGACCATCACCCAAAATTTCAAGATTCTAGCTTCAGCAGTTTCGTCTGTCAATAAGTCAGTCAATCACTTTACTCTTTTATTAGTATAGATTTTTTTGAAATTCCCCCTTGGAATGTTTTTTTTTAATATTTTTTTTGAAGTTCTCCTTGGAATGGAAGTTTTTTAAAATAATTTTTTAAGTTCCCCCATGTGGATTTTTTTATTTATTTTTTATTTTATTATTTTTTGAAGGTCCCAAAAGGCGTTGATTTTTTTAAAATAAATTTTGAAGGTTTTAAAAGGCGTGAATGGTTATAGCGTGAATTTTTAAAAGTAGTTTTTGAAGTTTCCTTAAGGCGATTTTTGATTTTTTTTAAAAAAAAAAATCCCCCAAAGCGTTTTTTGAAAATATTAAAAAATGTCCCTTAAAATTTTCTAATGATTTATCTGCTGTTTTTTACAACCTTCTGGCACTGCATTTCAAAAAATATCTTATAGCGAACTTCCCATGAACTTTTTTGCACATCAAGCATAGTTTATTTTTAGAGAAGCCAACAGATTTTCTTAACCGCTGAACAATCGCCCTGAATGAATGCATCCATCCATCTACTTGTCTGTCAATCTTTATTGAAAGAAATCTACATCTACATTTTTTTAAAAATAATTATAAAAAAAAAATCACCCAAAGCGTTTTTTGAAAATATTAAAAAATGTCCCTTAAAATTTTCAAATGATTTATCCGCTGTTTTTAGAACCTTCCGACACTGCATTTCAAAAAACATCTACTTCAAGTCGAAACGATCTCAAGTCACCGAACTTCCCATGAACTTTTGTTACACATCAAGCATAGTTTATCTCTGCAACATTAGAGAAGCCAACAGATGCTGAGAGAGACAAAAGAGAGATCTCACATCTTAACCGCTGAACAATCGCCCTGAATGAATGCATCCATCCATCTATCCATCTACTTGTCTGTCAATCTTTATTGAAAGAAATCTACATCAAACCATTGTTGTCTCTTTGGGGAAAAATCGGTACGGTACGGTACGGCTAGATTCGGTTCGCTGTTCGTTTTCAACATTTGGAGATTTCAGTTAACGCTGAGCATTCATATCAACAACTACCTCGCGATACGGAAATCGCATGCGGAATATCAACGACAACGACAAAAGCGGCGGGTCTCTTGTGTAATTGAACTAAGTAGTGCTACTTTTTTAAACTATCTTTTTATTATTTAGATATAAATTTATTTCGACTTTCGCATTGTCGAACAATCACCAAAGCAAACAACAATAACAATAAAGAATCAAAAAATAAAAATTGCCTTTTGTATAACAGAAATAATGTAAACCGAATTAAGCCATGATTGAGGCTATTTTCTTTTAAGTGCGTGTTACAGTGAGTGGTGGTGCATGGCTATGGACGTATGGATGGATGGACAGACAGACAGACAGACTGTCGAACTGCTACTACTGTTATGCTATTTTTGTGATTTTCCGTTTGTCCAACAAAACTGCCAACAATGAAATGAATTTAACTTAAACCAAACAAACAAAAAATATTTTTTTTATTTTTTAGTGTTAAATTTTGTTGTTGTTGTCTTTCTTTGTAATATTAAGGCTATGCGTGTCTGTCTGAGCGGTCTGACTAAGTGGCTGTTTAAATATTGGCCTAAACTTTTAAATCAAAACATAGCCCCGAAACAGAGTTTAAAACTGAAATCAATACAACCAACACCCAGGCTGTTTGTTTGACCTCTGTTTACATAGTGAAGGTGTAAAAGTTGCAGCATTTGCACAGTGGTTTGAAAATCTATCTATACTAATAAAAGTGTAAAGTGATTGACTGACGGACTGATTTAACGATTCATCAACGCCCAGACGAAACGGCTGAAGCTAGAATGTTGAAATGTTGATTGAGGGTCACACTTGGTCCAAAGGTGACAGAAAAGGCTGGGTTTTTGGAAATTCGTTCTAGAACGGTACGAAAAGTACTAAATGTGACACAATTTGTATTTGGCGAACCGGTAGAGCTAGAACTCTAAGAATTTAAATAAGGGTCGCTGATGGAGTGTTGAATATATATAGCAAAGGGTTTTTTGGACATTCGAACTATAAGTATGCCAAAAGTACTAAAATGTACTAAATTTGGTACAATTGCGTAGCATGTGAATGGATAGAGCTAAAAACTTGAAATTTGGAATGCAAATTAGGGTTTATTTAAGGAGATGGTTTTGAAAGCGTGTACGAAAAGTACTATACGGTACTATATTTGGTACAATTTTAATCTGGTGATACAAATCGAGCTCCAATCCAGAAATTTGAGCCGGAGTGTAGGATTAGGATATGCACGTAGTTTTGGAAATTTGTTACTTATGTGTCCAAAAAGTACTAAATCGTACTATAATTAGTACAGTTTCGATCTGGGTGAACCGATAGAACGGGAACAATGAAATTTGGAGTCAAGATCACTGTAGGGGTGTTGGATGGGGGTCAGGATTCAGTTTAATACATATGGGTACTAAATTTGGTACACTTTGAATTTTAGATGATCCAATAGAGCTAGAATCATGAAATTTGAAGTTAGGATCTCTGTTGAGGTGTAAGATTGAGATATGTAAAAGTTTTAGAAATTTGTACTAATGTGTACAAAATTAGGTACAATTTGCATTGGGAGTGAACCGATAGAGTTGGAATCCTGAAACTCGGATTTGGGATCACTGTGGGGGTGTAGTTTTGTGGTAAGAAGGAGATTTTAGATATTCGTACTATTGTGTACTAAATTTGGTACAATTTGTATTGTGAGTGAGCCGATAGAGTTGGTATCCTGAAACATGGATTTAGGATCAGTGTGTGGTGTAGGATTGCGGTATGTAATTTGAATTTAGAATCATTTTGCGGGTGTAGGATCGGGATATGCAGGAACCTTTGTTGGATGGGAGAGGAGGGTACTTGTGGAAATAAAATGTGCTAAATGGAACTAAATTTGGTCAAATTTGTATTTGGGTGAACCTTTAGAGCTCGAATCATGAAATTTGGTACTAAATGGCACTCAACTTTAATTTATGGTCAATATCAATGTGTGGATTGTTTTATCTGACATATGCAGTTTTCTGTGAAAATAAAATATGTTATTACATGTTTAAGTATTTCCTATATTCGCTAACGAAGTTGCGGGCACATGCTGGATTGGAATTTTTAAAAATAATCTTTTCACAGACCATCTAGGCGTGGTCGGTGGATTTTGTGAATTATTTTTTTAAAAATTATTTTTTCAAGATCTACACAACCCGTGGATTATTTAAAAAAATATTTTTTTTCATGGACCATGTAGGTGTAATCTTTTTCAAAATAATGTTTTCATTGACAATCTAGTCGTGGATTTATTAAAAATAATTTTTTCATCGTCCTTTAAACAGCAGGTGTCTTTTGAAGTACTGTGCTTCATCGATGTCTGATTTTTTCCAACCCAGCCATAAAAATGCAATCGACACCTCTTACGCATTGTATTCAAAAAACATTTCTAGTAAACATTTACAACATTTACAAACATTTCTAGTAAAACTTGCTGTTCATGTAAAATAAAACCGACAACAACACCACCACCACCTATAAGAAAACAATTAACATTGTTGGTTAGTGAAAAATTTTTTTATTTGTTAACAAAAAAATTCGAAATTTATGCCAAGTTTGCAAAAAACATTTTTAAGGTATTTTTCGACTTTTCTTGAACTTCCCGTTTTTAGCAAAAACAACTACAACGATTTTTTTGTGAATTTTATTTTTGCATGTACTATGTTGAAATTTTACTACATACATACATATTATGTATGTACGTATGTATGTGTTTACTTCCGGGTTGGTCTAGTGGGCTATGCTTTCCTCCATGGGTATGAGGCCTGCAGTTCGTTATTTTAGACATTTTATGCGTGTGGAATTAATATAAAGTAAAAATTTATGGAATAATAAAAATAGTAATGGGGGTTTGTTTTAATATTTATGGTTTACAGTGGCTCCAAGGAGGAGAAATGTAAATAATTTAAAATTATTAGTAAAATCTAGAATCCTAGAAACAATTTTCATAAAAAAATATTTAAAAAAACCACGATGTTTCACAAAAATTAATTTTAAACCAGTAAGAAAAGTAGCAAAGTCGGAATGGGCCAACTAACTTCACCACTTTGGGTATATTGTACATATGTATCCCCACTATAGTATGTCAATGTTCCCTCAAAGAAACATACTCATGTCTTTCTGCAACCTATGATACATTTAATTTAATTTGGGAAGATTTAGATTCGTCTGCGTACCATGGCACAAATATATGGAAAACGGATTTATAGCAAAATTGATACACGCTATTCGGTACGTCGCATTGTTAAAAATTTAAACCCAAACAGACACCCGTTTGAATTACATATGGAAGCTATGGCTGAATCTGGACCAATTTCAACAAAACCCAATATTCGTCATTGACTACTCAATTTGATACGTTGTGCATAATTTCGTGTTAATCGGACAAACATTGGGAGTTTGGTGCACCATTTATGTAAAATCGGACGAAAATATATATGGGAGTTATATCTAAATATGAACCGATTTTCAGGAAACTTACCACACATCATTCTAGAGTTAATTCAGTACCCTATGCTAAATTTCGTGTAAATCTAAAAATATATTCGGACTTTGGTGCACTATTTACCTAAAATCGGACGAACATATATATGAGAGCTATATCTAAATCTGAACCTATTTTCACGAAAGTTAACGCTCATAATTCTAGAGTTAAGTCAGTACGCTATGCCAAATTTCGTGCAAATCGAATGATATTTAGGGACTTTGGTGCATCATATACCTTAAATCGGACGAAAATATATGGGAGCTATATTTAAATCTCAACCGATTTTCATGAAACTTCGTACACATTATTATAGATGCAATTCAGTTCGCTGTGCCAAATTTCGTGTAAATCGAAAGATATATAGGGTCTTAGGTGCAGCATTTACATTAAATCGGAAGAAAATATATATGGGAGAATATATAGGGTCTTTGGTGCACCATTTACATAAAATCGGACGAAGATATATATGGGAACTATATCTAAATCTGAACCGATTTTACCAAATTTCAATAGGGTTCGTCCTTAGGCCAAATAAATGATCTGCGCCAAATTTCATCCAATTCGTATAATTTTTTTTAAATTTCCCTCAAGACATGATTTTTTTAAGGTCTCAAAAAGGTGAAGTTTTTTAAAACTATTTTTTTGTACGTCTCGCAAAAGGAAGATTTCTTAAAAATATTTTTTTGTATTTTTTTTTTACTTCTTATAAATGTGTATGGAATACTCACTTGTGAGAGTAAACACTATTGGTTAAGTTTTTTTTTTTTTTTGTATTTTTTGTAAAGAAAAAACTTACCTGCGTAATCATGTTTCTTATAAACATTTCTTAGGTTTTTTTAATTCATTTTTTGTGTTGCATTTCCCTGCGCTTACTGCATGACAAGTAAGAGCTCATGTTCAAACCGCCTCATATATAATCGAACGCAATATGAGGAAATATTTTATTAGAGGCACTTCCAATGTTCCGAATTTGGTGCGGACACGTCGTATATTGCCAATTTATTTCTTTCGATTGTAAATTTGAAAAGTTTTTTGTTTTTCATATCGCCACCTATGACAGTCTGAAAGACAAGACGACAGACACTTAGTCAATCAAGCGGTATCGGCAGACTGACAGTTCGTGTGGGTTTATTTTTTGTTGGTGATTTGTATTTGTCATTTGGAATAATTAATCGATTTATGTGTTTGTGGTGTGTCGTCTTTGCTCTACAATACAACTTTATTTATGTGCAAAAAAATAAAATAAATTTTTCGTCTTTTTTACAAAACCGGCTACAAAAAACATTAACAGCAACAACACTTGCAAATATACCAATTTAGCAAAAATTAAAAAAAAAAAACTCAAGAAAAAATAAACAAAATACAAAAAAAGCAAAAGTGTGTTAAGACAATTTGTGTGCTTCTTTGTTTTGGTTTCTATATCGCGTGAATACCTAATTGAGAATCATGTTTAAACGACTGGCTGCAACAACAACACTCAAAACAACACACCGATCATCAGGAACAACAAAATCATCGTCTTCGTCGAAGGTGTTTCTCCAAACTGCTCTAATTTGGTGTTTATTTCTGCTGCTAATGGATCCGACCATGGCCATAGGCTTGGGACGCTGTCCCAAGTATCCATCGATGCCAAAATTCAACATGAGTCGGGTAAGTTGTGGCAGTTGTGTGATTTATTTATTTATTCGTGTGTGCATACGAGATGATTATGTTAATCAATTAAATGTGGAACAGTTTATCATCGTTTGGAGAATTCAAATTATTCAAAAAATTAAAAATTCAGTCGTCGCATGCAAATTTAAAAACTAGAGGAAAAAAATTTCTATGGAAAATGAAAAAAAGTATGTTTCTCAAGGCGTGTAACTCATCGAAATATTTATTTCCGGCCCTATAAAGTATATATATATATATATATATATTCTTGATCAGGGTAAAATTCTAAGACGATATAGCCATGTCCCTCCGACTGTCTGTTGTAATCACGCTATCTTCTCTGAAGGAACTGATATAGATCGCCAACATTTTAGATAGAGTCGTCTTTTGTCTGCAGGCAGGTCAAGTTCGAAGATGGGATATTTCAGTCCACGTTTAGGCATAGCCCACATATTAATGTACCGCCTAATTTTCGATATTTTGGGTTCCTGAGCGCGCTTTTTAACCGAATTCGCTGAAATTTGGTACATTGGGATCCAAATTTTTCCACAACAAATTATAAATATAGGTCCACTTTTTCTGTTAGGTCCCATATAACGGTACCCCTAATTTGCATTATTTTGGGGGTTTTGATCATATTTTTCCACTGAATTGGCTGTAATTTAGTATTTTGAGTTATTAATAGGTATCAAAACTTTCCACGAACAATTATGAATATAGGTCCATTTTTTCGGATAGCCCCATAAACGGTACCCCCAATTTTTGGTATTTATCAACCGAATTCGCTGAAATTTGGAATTTTGAGGTCTTATATGGTAACAAATCTACCTACCAAAAATTATTAATATTCGCCACCTTTTTGGGGTAGTCCCCATACAACCCCCTTTTTTATATTAAAATAGTTATCTGATTTTTTCCGCCTATCCATTTTCTGTATTTTTAATATTTAGCGTGAAGGAAGGTATTGTAATGCCAAAATGTTTAGTTAGAAATAGAGCTATGTCCAGAAACCTACACATAGAAATGTTTTTTTCTGCAATGACAATATTCATAAAATCATTTTAGGACAAATCTCCATTAAGAATTGCTGATATTTGTATTTGGTATACATTATGGTTTACAACAATAACTGTTGGTGTTGGTATGTTCCCCATATTTTCATTGCAAGTAACTATCAGTATACCTATGGACTTTTTTAAATAATTTTTTTAAGGTCCCACAAGGCATGGCTTTTTTTAAAATGTTAGTTTTTAAGTTCCACAAGACACCTCTGTAAAGACTTTCTTTCCCTTCAAAAAATACTCTCTTCAGCTCGTCTACGAATACTACAATCACTTCATCTACAAAGACTCCCTTTACCTCATATATAAAGAGTGCTATCAGTTCATCCTTAAATGCTAGCTTCAGACCGTCTACTGAAGCTCTCATTTCAACTTCCTTTCAGCTGGTCAATAAAAATATGTCTGACCTTGTTCTGATGTATGTTCAAAACACTTGCATTCCTTACTTTATGGCCTGGTTTGAAACAACATTCCTTATATTACCAAGTAGTTAAGTGTATGAGTGTTATAGCCATTTTAGAAATCGCAATAAACGTTCTGTATTTATAAAAACAAAAACAAGTGCAGTACTTTATACTCTGTACCTGAGATGCTCAACTAAATGATTTTAATTTACTTGGAGGGCAATGTAAACAGGTTTTAGAGAATGTCATTAACAGTAATATAAACTATAATGAACATACAGACATATATAGGAATTTATAACTAAAAACCTAAATAATATTATAAATACCTTTTCAACCTTGTCATACTTCTATAACTGTACAAAATCCAAATAGTTTATTTTATATTGAAATTCTTTCTTGTCAGATTCCGATGAAAAAATAACGTGTTTTTTTCCACAAAACACGTGAGGGCATCCTCTCCAACATGACACGGATGATGGACGTACATATTAAGCAATTAGGTTTTAAAAATACCCATCCAGTAAATGGATCATCCAATTTAATTGAAATGCACTGCACAGTGCACCTTTTGTAACTTTCACATGATTTGCATTTTTCTGTGTGTGTGTGTGTGGGTGGGTGGGTGCAATACACATAGCCGACCATGTTGACAAGTAGCAGCAACAACAACAATAACTACAACTAACATATTCTATTTGTTTTCCAATGAAATTCATTGAGTCTTCCTCCATTTGCCATCATAATTGGGCGAGAGACAAATTTAAAATGTCATTTAGTAAAAGCCAACAACAACAATAACAACAACAATCAAATTCGTTATTTTTGCTCGCACTTTAATGGGCACACACACTAGCACTCTCGTTATGAATGTGACTAAAATGTTAATAAAGGCTTGTTATGCTAACTTTGTTGGTTTTATTTTCTAGACCAGAGAAAATAACCTTTACTCTCACTCACCCACTCTCACCACCTCATCAAACATGTTGTCCACAATGTTGGCTCCCCTTTTGATTATGAAAAGTTCTTTAGTCTCATTTGTTATTGTTTTGTTTGTTCTCACACTCATTACTGCTGCCGCTGCTGATGTGTTGTTTGTGTGGTGACTTGCTAATGAGAGTGAAATTGGCGGTTCTTTAAAACTATGGGGGGTTTTAAATTTAGGTGATAATTTACAAACTTTGACTTAAATATATTTAAATAAATTGTCCTTATTTTAAATTGAATTAAAAAAATAATAATTTAATATTACACTGCGGGGGAATATTAGTTTTTTATTTTTATTTGAATTTACTCTGAGTGGTTATTTTCCATTGTTTATGATGAAGATAGCGGCAGCATATTTTGCACAGTGGATCAAATAAAAATAAAATTAAGGAAATTATTAATATGAGAAAATATGAGACAAGTCAGAAAAGGTATTTATAGACGATCTGAAGGGAGTATTCTACAGACGAACTGAATGGAGTCTTCTATAGACGAGCTGAATGGAAGGGAGTCTTTATAGACGAGTGGATGGAAGTCTTTATAGACGAGTGGAAGGGAGTCTTTATAGACGAATGTAAGGGAGCCTTTATAGAGCAGCTGAAGGGAGTCCTTATAGACGAGCTGAAGGGAGTCCTTATAGACGAGCTGAAGGGAGTCCTTATAGACGAGCTGAAGGGAGTCCTTATAGTCTTTATAGATGAGCTGAAGGGAGTCTTTATAGACGACCTGAAGGGAGTCTTCATAGACCAGCTGAAGGGAGTCTTTATAGACGAGCTGAAAGGGAGCCTTTATAGACGAGCCGAAAAAAAAATAAGCGAGGGTGTTTTCCATGAATATTTTTTTAAAGATTAAAATGAGGCGTGAATTTTTTAAAATATTTTTTCAAGAACTTCATAATCTGTGGATTTTTTTAAAATATGTGTTTCTAGAAATTCAGAAATTAATTTTGAAATGTGGACCTTAACAATTTTAAGCCTTCAACCTTGGCCCACTGTGCAAACAGTTTATGGGTTTCCCTCAAAAATTTAAAGCTCTTTTTGACTTTGAACGATTTTTTTATGCCGACTCATCAAATAGCCGATGAAAGACAACCCGTTTTTGATGTCAATGAGGGGCTACTTGGCTTGTGCGCTGAATTGCCATAAAGATATTTTGATGATAAATGGAAGATGATGATCAGATCGAAAGACGTTAATGAAAATCAAAGCAATTCAATGATAGAGATATACAAAAACAAATAAAACCGTTTGTAGTTTGGTATTTATATGATTTCAATTTTTTGTCCGGCCCACTATTGATATGTAAATGACCTTAAAGGGTGTGAATAGTAAAAAATGTGAGACAATAGCTAGTCCTTTTAAACGATCACGTTTGTTGCTGTGTAATTAAAGAATTTTTTTATTAATTTATTGTTTTTTTTTTATATCTTTATTTTAGGTTCTGGGTCAATGGTATGAAGTTGAAAGATCATTTTATTTGCCTGAAATAGCCTCAGGCTGTACCACATTGGAATTCCAGCCACTGCACAAAGAAGAGCTGTCCAAGTTTAATAATTTCAAACTGGAAGTGGCCATTAAGACAATTAATAGAATGTGAGTAGGAGAAGTTGGGGGAGATTTTACGAACAGAAATATAAATGAATAAAATTAAAAAAATAATAATTTTATTTCATTATTATAGAACTGGTAATCCTTCGGTGAACCTGGGATATGCCACACCAGAAAATCGTAAATCATCCATAATGGATTTTAAGGTAAGAATTTTAATAAAAATAATAATACTTTTTAAAAATTAATAAAAATTATCTCTCTCTCTTCACAGTTTAACACCCGCTTCCCCGATGTCATTGCCCGCCTATTGCCCGGCTCGGGCAAATATCAAGTCCTCTATTCCGATTATGATAATTTTGCCATTTTGTGGTCATGTGGTAGTTTGGGCTCTTTGGGTTATTCGGATCAAATATGGGTATTTGGTCGAACAAGAGATTTCCCGGTGGAGACAAGAGCTAAAATTTATGATGCCTTAAAGAAATTGGGTTTGGAACCGGATCGTTTGGTATTGAGTAAAAATAAAAATTGCCCAAAAACTTTATAACTTCCATAATTCCAAACTATAAATTAAGATTATTCATTAAGTCATACACACACACTTATATACATACATACTCAAAACTTATATGAAATATTGCTCAAAAGAAAACTATCGCATATTATACATATATTGTTGACTGTATAGGTAAATTTGTACGGTACTGTATTGTATTCCATTATTATTTTAGAATAGGTTACTGTGATACTATTACCCGAATTGAAAAATAAAATAAAAAATTAAATTTAAAATATATCTTTCATTATTATTTAAATGGAAGAGCTTTAATTTGTTTAAGATATATAGGAGATATTCTTAATATAATAGATGAGTAGACATTTTCTAAGGAGAACTGAAGGTATCCCAAACAAAATAGGAAGTAAAATCCTTAGGGTAGGATTTTTAGAGTACCAACTTTTTCTGTAGAAAGAAATACCCAATTTTGGAAACCATTCGTTTACCATAGGTAAACATTTTAATCTCCTTTAAACTAATTTTTTCCAAAGGGGGAAAATTAGTCCCAGATGAAAAAATCCACAGTACATTGATCCAAATTTGTTATATCCCCCACCATGAGGTGGAAATGTAAAATACTAAAAATCAATGCGGAATTTTATATGGAAATAAAAATACCACATATCATAAATACCACAAACATAGCAAATTCAACCACATAGTTATTATGACGTGTAATGTTGAAGCACCCTGTTTGCTAAACAATTAGGTGACTGATAGCATTGTGAAATTTAATAAATAGAAAGAATAGAATAGCAATGATTTGCCTTCATATTGACCTATTGAACCTTTTATAGAATGCCCATAATATAAACACCACTTTATATTAAGTATGTATGTAATTTGTACTACTGGTGGATAGATGGCTTTATACACACATAGCAAAGTCAACCACATTGTTGTTATGATGTGTGATGTTGAAGCACCCTGTCTAGCTAAACAAATAGGTGACTCATAACATAGTGAAATTTAATAAATAGAAATAATATATTAGCAATGATCATTGGATATTCTAGTGCACGTTAATAGAAACGAAGTTAGACAACTCTTACCTTTTAAACTCCTATTGTTCTGCTATAAGTTGATTTATTTGGTCAACACACTAGCTATATAGTCAGTTACGTTTTTATTTCATTTTTTATCCTTCGAGCCTGAAACGTCAAATTAGAAAAAAACACACACACACACAAGAATAATGTAAATAAGTTTTTAGAGTACCGAACCGAAACCGCAATGACAAAAATAAATAATAAACGGAAAATGGACGGAGGTGAGTAAAGCCTTTTTACTCTCTTTAACACGAGCACGGAAACGTACATACGGCATGCATACTCTACCACTGTCTAATAAGCAAACATTTTTTTGGCAATAGATAATGGAATATTGCGGAATATTTTTAATTAGACATTTGCACTATTTTGTGTTGTATTCAATTCTGAATACATTAAAAATTTATATTATTATGCATTTTTTTTCAATAATTTAATCTATCAATCTCTACGAACGAACGTCTTCACTTTATTAAAGCTACGAAAGAACTAAATGAGTTGGAAGTTCTAGAACTCTCATTATCGCTCTCTCTCTCTCTCTCTCTTACTTGTATGGACAGTAAGAGCGACTTAACGAAGGAACTTGAAACGAAGTTATTGCATTAGTTTTCTTTGATCTTTAAGGACTAGTGTACTGAAAACGGGATTTTTTCGGGAATTTAGGAATAGCGCCCTTGCCAAAACATTACTATAACCAGAAAAGAACGAGATTCTTATGAAAAGGGTTCTCACTCTCTGAATTCGCCCGTCTATTGATGCACATATTTGATATAGTTGGCATTCGACGATCTGATGACGTCCGATGGAAAGACACGTCCTGTGTGCCTTAATGATAGCACCTGAAGTCCGGACAGATGTCACACAGAGGCGGAATAGCCAATGCCTCGATTTACCTCTTCAAACCCTAATCTCGTTCATGCATACAAGTCCATAGATTTTCCATTTCATTTCATCCGTTTTCAATCAATATTTTCGGGAAAGAACTTTTCACAACAACAATGGCCGAATACCAATTTTCTGAGTTATAACTTTTCCATCCAATACCAGCGAAAATTAATTGAAGGTCTCCTCAAAGACCTGGATTTTTTTTAAGAATTGTTGTTCAAGGGTCAATATAGGCATGGATTTTTTAAAATAATTCTTTAAGGATCATTAAATATTTTTAAGGGCCATTATAGGCGTGGATTTTTTAAAATATGTTTGATTGGTCATTATAGGCGTGGATTTAATAAATATGAATTGTTAAATATTTCTTCACGGCCAAGGGATTCATAAACCCCCAATTGTTTGGGTGCGAATCATAATTTTTGTTTGTTTTTAGTTTGTATATACGGTGAAAAGAAAATAACAAAATTTAATGCTGTAATTTTTTTTTTTTTTTTCATTTATTGTATTGAAATAATATTCGAATAGGGTTTTGGGTTTCTTCTCTATCACAGTACTAGGGCAAAAGACACAGATGACGACATTCAAGAAATATGAACTTTATTTTTTAAATATAAAGATTTGTGTTTATTCAATTCTTGTGTATGTTGTTGCAAAGTATCTAAAATTTATAATTACACTTTCTTGAATTATCATACACCAAAATACCGACTGAAATGCAATTTTTAAATTAAGTTTTTTTGAAATATTAAAAAAAACTGAATATTAGTACCAATATACAATATCTGGAGAAAACTAAACGAAACGAGATTCAGGAATCATTTGAATGTATTAGTTAACCGCCGGCGGTGTTGGTGGTGGCGGTCCACCGCCACCATTATTTCCATTTGGATTGCCACCATTTCGTTTGTTGCTATTGGTTAGCTTCAGTATCGACTCTGGTCTTATGAAATACATGACCATAGCAAAGATCATAATCATAGTCATCATGGTAAAATTGCCCTCTTCACCACCGGTTGATGAACCGCCGGGTTGCTGCAATCTTCCAGTAACTGTGGGGAAAGAATACATTGATTATCATTTGCCAAAAATAAATGAAATTTACAGGAAATTGAATTTATATTTAAATCTTATCTTGCACTTTCAATACATACCATCAATGCAATTCGTATCGGTGCATTCATTTTGATTTTGACGTATCTGAAAAATGAAAGGGTGTAAGGAAAACATTTTGTAATGAGTATTTTCTTGAGGGGGGTTAGTCTTATTTTTTTTACTTACAAAATTTAATAGCCTTTGCATGGCCCACTCATGTGACCACACACATTCGCAACCATCATATTCATCACCCATTGCGTCACAAAAATAAACTGAAAACAATTTTCAGATGTATAAAGAAATGGATTAGTATTACAAAGGCTCTAGGAAATACAAATGGATATACAAAATAAGATCGGTAAAGAGGACACAATGTTTGTGTAAGGGTAATTGGATGCGGAGATTGCAATCATTGGGCATACATTTCTATTCTTATATATGGATTCAAAAAACTTTAGAAAAAATCCCAAACCCCCAAGGCGTAGATTTTTAAAATAATTTTTTCCAAGGCTTAGGCAAGGCGTAGATTTTTAAAAGAATATTTTCCAACCTTTATATTAGACGTAGATTTTTAAAAGAATATTTTCCAAGGCTTAGACAAGGCGTAGATTTTTAAAGAATCTTTTCCAAGGCTTAGACAAGGCGTAGATTTTTAAAGAATCTTTTCCAAGGCTTAGACAAGGCGTAGATTTTTAAAGAATCTTTTCCAAGACTTAGACAAGGCGTAGATTTTTAAAGAATCTTTTCCAAGGCTTAGACAAGGCGTAGATTTTTTAAAGAATCTTTTCCAAGGCTTAGACAAGGCGTAGATTTTTAAAGAATCGTTTCCAAGGCTTAGACAAGGCGTAGATTTTTAAAGAATCTTTTCCAAGGCTTGGACAAGGCGTAGATTTTTAAAGAATCTTTTCCAAGGCTTAGACTTGGGTGGGAGGATTCGTCTTCAGCAATGGCAGATAGATGCCATTTTTTGGGGTAATAGGAAGTCGGATCGGCATTTCAAACTCTACTGTGGACAGATGCCAACATCGGCTATGTAAAAGAACTACGTTTTAAATAGAATATTTTTTGTGGACCATGATTTAAAATTTGTCCTCAGGGTAGATGCCAACATCGGCTACTGGAAAGAATCTCTTTTTAATTTATACGACCGGACATTCGACTAGACAAATGTTTGTCTTTGTAATCAGGATTCAGATTTGTTTACTCATTAACATGGATATAAAAATCTAGAATAAGTTTATACTACTAATTTAGTTAGTGTAACTTAGTATATTGTATAATTATCTAAAATTAAATACATTTTACGTTTCAAAAGTTTGAAGCTATAGCTTTTTGCAAGCTTGTTTTACTGAATATTTGTACACGACCATATATACATATGTACATATATAACTGATTTATTTTAATATTTTAACAAAGCCACAGAACACATTTCAAGTTTCCTTATCGAAAAACAAATTAAAAAAAAAATCAAAAACAACGTTGTTTTGTTTTTAGAAATATAATTTAAATAACATATTTAAATTGTATTGTCGTGACTAAAAAACTGTCTGGCGACTGACATACATACATATCAATTTTTATATTATGAATATCACATATAAAAATATGATGGCACACATATGAGACGTACATACAAACATACATATGTTTGCAGATTTAAATCGTTTGTGGCTGCGAGACTCTATATGACCTAATGCATTTTTGCATGTAAAAAAGCTGCATTAATTATAAATATTCAGATGAACCAATTATTGAAAAAGAAACCAATGCACAAAGTAAGAAAAACATCACCAAACTTATGTAATAACAACAAATCGATTATAAATATACAACAATGTTATTATTTACATTTCGAATGTATACGGAAATATATAATTTAATACATACTTTGTGTATTTTTGTTAACTGAATAAGGAACTCTTAAAAGAAATAATATGTATCGTCTGAATCTTGACTTTTTGCAAAATCTTTCGCCTTAATCTTCGTTACTAAAACCGAAAATAAAAAAAAACAAGTTTTCTTTCCTCTTCATCGATACTTTGACGTACACACATATTTATTTATATTTTAATCGTAAAGGGAGGTTGGTTGGTGTTTTTTTATTTGATGTTGTTGTTGTGGTTTTTATTGTAACGTACAATTACACCCCCCGTTTTACCTTATATGGTTGGTTCCGATAAGAGCGAGTTTAGCGATTGAGTATCGACCAATTTATTTTTTCTAATTGGAATTTACAGCAACAATTAAATTGTAGACTTTTCTTAATAATTACAAAGAAAACTCGATTATTTTAATTTATTTAACATTGTTTTTTTTTTTGTATTTTCGTTTTGTTGTGAGAGAAGAAAAAACTGCACAATTTCTTTGAAGCAACAACAAACACAGATTAATATAAAATAAAAGTTGTTTTTTTCTTCTCCTTTTTCGTTTGTGTTGTACCATTTGCCACATGAGTAGTGAGTATTTGGTATGAAGAGAAAGTGGGTACCGAATAGTAAAACAAACATGAATTAGGGTGGGTTCACACGAAGGGATTTAAACGTTGTGTCTTTGTTTTTAATCGAAACAAATGGGGAAATACAATTCTTTCTATTGTCTTCTTATAAGCCAATAAATAAATTACAGTAGAATCCACATATAATGTTTTATATACAGTGGTGTTCACGTAATTAAAACATTGACTGTAATAAACATTTTTTTAATCAGTCCTCGATTCGTTGAAAGTTTTTTTATAATTTTGTTTTAGATTAGTGTAGATATGTCAATTTCGAACCCAATATTTTTGTTTTGTGTCTCAATTCTTTCCTTCAGGAGGTATAATTATATGGGGGAGATGCCTAAATACCGGCCGATATATTTCATTATAGCCAGGTTCGAGTTTTTTTTTTGCTTTTTTATTTCTATAGAAAGCGTAATGATTACAACCAATGGCTAAATCGTTTTAGAATTCCATAATTTGTAAGTTAAAACTGACTATTTCGAGTAACGACTATCCCCTATGGTAGAATACGCCTATATGGGGACAACCCCTACACACGGAACTAATCAGCTATTTTAATATATGAAATAATATTGTATGAAATAAATGAAATGAAATATAAGAAGGCGGTTAGGTTATATGGGAACTACGCCTTAACGGGGGCGAATATTAATAATTTTTGGTAGGATAATTTGGTACCATATGCGACTACAAACTTAAGGGCGCCCTTATGGACCTATAATTATAATTTATAGTGGAGACATTTGGTAATCAATAACCATTGTAACGACAGATGTAGCCCATCTTCGAATTGACCTGCATGCAGACAAATGACTCAATCTCAAGTTCTTCAGGAGATAGCGTGATTACAACAGACGGAGGGACAGACGGATGGACGGACGTGGCTAGATCGCCTTAAAATTTTACCCTGATAAACAATATATATATATATATATATATATATATTTATAGGGTCGGAAATGAATATTTCGATGAGTTACAAACGGAATGACAAAATTAATATACCCTCCATACTATGGCCATATTTTTTGGGCATAAAACGGAGATTTTTAAACGAAACTTGCATGCAGACAAATGACTCAATCTCAAGTTCTTCAGGAGATAGCGTGATTACAACAGACGGAGGGACAGACGGATGGACGGACGTGGCTAGATCGCCTTAAAACTTTACCCTGATAAACAATATATATATATATATATATATATAGGGTCGGAAATGAATATTTCGATGAGTTACAAACGGAATGACAAAATTAATATACCCTCCATACTATGGCCATATTTTTTGGGCATAAAACGGAGATTTTTAAACGAAACTTCAATCCCCTTTGGCTTTAATTTAATGGAAAGTACAAAAAGTTCGTGCCAACCGAAATGGATTCTGTTTTTAATTGCTTACACTGATAAAGATATTTAAGTGTGCCACGATAAGGTCACATATGTAAGTATTGTTTGGATGAACATTTTTTTTTATCAATATCATATATGTGTGTCGACAAGAGACTATTTAAAAGATATCAATGTTCTTCAAGGAAAACATTTTTGACCGATTAAATACTTTCAGCGTTTATTATGGTTGTAATAATACACACCTCGACGGCTATGCTCTTTTCATTTTTGTTATTTCCCAAAATGCCTAGGAAGCCCTAATAAAAACATGAACAATTTGTAAAGAAAAAACTCTATGGATAACACAAAGCCACGACAATAGAACAATTAACGTCAAGAACGGATAATTCATACTGTAAAACCCATGGAGGCGATTATAAAAACAACACTAACCACATAGTTATGGGCAAGGTAGTTTTATGGAAAATGCAGTTTGTAATAAGGATGTATGCGTTAGGCTTCCCAAGCTAAGGACACAAAATTGCACAGAAAAACTCACCCAAATTTTAGATTTTCGTTTATAATACCTTCGTCGCCGTTATTTTCTTTTTTTTTAATTTTCTCCCTCTATATACAGAAGTGCAGTGTTTTTATTAACAACCAAGGCACTTAACTGATGTCAATATCTTTTCACATACAAAATATACGGTGGAGTAAAAACCGAAACAGCAGTCAACCGAAAACAAATAGCAGAATGAGAAAAAAATAACAACAGAAAAACAATAATATTAACGTGTACAATATCCATTGGTTTTGAACAGTTTTGTGTTTTTGTTTTTTTTAATACATACAGTCATACACATAATACATATATACATCAAGGCGAGGCTTCACTTAGAAATAAATCGTATAGGTATGTACATCCATCATAGTGGTAAATGATGGTAATTAAACTTAGAAGTTAGAAAAACGAATACTTACATAAAACTAATCAGGTTTTCAGTTTTGTTTGCATTTATTTTGTGGAATTATTTTTTGTAATTTTTCGCCGGGTACGTCTCAGACCAGAAGGACGACAATTATTGGTGATGTCAATGGGTGTAATGGCAGGAGCTTCGCCATACATTTTTAAACGACCAATGCGATCATTGACACTTGGTGGGGTGGAGGAAGTATTCAATGTGATGTTACTACCACATTCCTCCAGAAGTTTGGTGGGTTTGACGGAATTATTTGCTTCTTCCCATGTAATGGTTTTGAAATCCTCTTGCATTTCCTGATGATGAGGATCATGATGTTGAGATGCAGCATTAAGTCGTGGTGTACTACAAGTGGGAGCATTTTTAAAGAATTCATTTACATTTGGTGTCCATGGAGAATTTACAGTACACAGGGATTTGGTTTTCAATGGTGTTTTTATTTGTTGGTCACCGATTAAGTTTTTGGGCGGTTCGTTGTCCTGTTCCATATCATCGTTTAAATTATTTATGATTTTATTATTACATGAGGAGTGTTTTCTTTGTTTACGTTTCTTGCTAAGTGATAATAGATTTTTCCTTGAGATTAGTGACTTTGTGGTTGAGTGATGGGTGAGTGGTGATTGCATTGAAAGTTCTGAAAAGGATTGTTGAATGCGTTTTGATGGTGGCAGGGGTGTACTTACATTATCCAATGGACGTTTCGAAGTAGATGGCAGTGCAGTGTTATCACAGTTATTTAAACTAATGGATTTGGTAGTTAAGTTGTTTATTGGAGATGTCAAAGGGCACTCCGGACCTTTTTTCATTATTGAAGTTGGTGTATCCACATTAAGGTTTACTTGTTTTGATGTCGATGGTATTAGGGATAATGTTGTATTCATAGAAGTATTCTCCTTGAGAGAATTCCTTTCACAATATTGTTTCATGGATTTCAATTCACAATTCCGGGCTTGTAGTTTATTTTTAGTCTCACTAAGGCATTTTTCATAATCATAAAAATTGCTCTCATTCGTATCCTGGAAATCTTTTAAAAGACTTGCAACTGCCTTTTTGGCTTTCGCAGAAATGTTAATTTTTTTGCCACCAGCAGTTTGAAAGCCATTTAGTTGACAGTTATTAAGACCATTTGATGCGATCTGCAATTTAAGATCGGTGTTATTTACATCCTGTAAATTGTTTATCTTTTCATTTTCCTGATTTGAAGTTTTTGTATTTTTGTTTTTTAATTCCTGATTTTTGTGTTGCAGTTTGGTTTTCAGTTCCTCCAAATTTTGTTCACAATCATTGAAATCGCAACTGCTTTGAAATTCCCTTAAGAGATTGGCAACAGAGTTTTTAGCCTTTTCGGAAATTTGTAGTTTTTTACCACCAGCTGTTCGAAAACCATCATCCAAGGATTTATCAACTACAGCAGATTCATGATTTTTATATATATTCTCCGGTTCCAAATTTTTATGTTTCCTTTGTATTTTATTTTTCAATTCATTTAATCCCTCTTCGTAATTATGGCAATTCATGTCCGCTTGGAATTCTTTTAGAAGATTTGCCACAGCTGTTTTGGCTTTTTTGGAAACCTGTATACCATTACCAGCGGCCGTTTGAAAGCCAATCGAATTTGAATTTAATTTCAATGATTTTTCTGGTTGCTGATTTTTATGCCATATTTTGAGTTTCAAATTTAAGAGATCTTGGGAACAAGCATCAAGTTTTTTTTCATTTGAAAATTCTTGCAGAAGACTGGCTTTACTGGATTCAACTTCAATGTGTTTGTCACCAGCTGTTTGCAGTTCCTCTGATACATTTTCATTAGTCTTTGATGACTTTTCTTGCAACAAATTCTCTAAAGGCCATTCACTGAAGACCATGTCCGCCAATTCAGCATCATTTTCCCAATAATCGTCGATTTTGTTATCATTTTTGAGAGTAGCTATTTTAGATGTTGAAGGCTTATCATCAATAGTAGGATTTTCTTGAAACCAATTTTCCACATCCATGGGTGGCTTAAAGTCATTCTTTTTATCTTCTTTGGAATCGATTTCTGGTAAATCTTTTAGTAATTCTAATGCTTTCATTTGGGCCTCTTTCGAGATGAGTATCGGATTGGCGGAGGCAGTTTTAAATCCTATATCACAGTTTTTATTTTTATCGACAGTTTTGGAATTCGAAAGTGGTTTTAGTTCCGGTAAATTTTTGCAAATTTCAAAAGCTTTCATTTCCGCCTCCCTTGTGATATGTATAGGTTTGGCGGAGGCAGTTTGGAATCCCATTGTCATATTTAATTCGGGTAAATTTTGGCAAATTTCTAAAGCTTTAATTTCAGCCTCCTTTGAGATGTTTATAGGTTTGGCAGAGGCAGTCTGGAATCCCATATTGGCTATATTTGTTTTCTCATTGAACATGTTGCCTTTCTTTTCCTTTGCCATATTTAATTCGGGTAAATTTTGGCAAATTTCTAAGGCCTTCATTTCAGCCTCTTTTGAGATATGAATAGGTTTGGCAGAAGCTGTTTTAAAGCCAACGTTTGTAGCAATTTTTTGATTTGTATTCAAGTCAGTACTTTCATTGGAAGTAGCTTTGTCTGCTAGGAATTCATTTTTCTGATATAAAACTTCCTGAGTTCTGATCATTGCCAAAAGATCTGAACCATCATCATACCAATTTTCTTGATAATCTGGTTTAGTTACGGCTAAAAGTAAATGGATAATTAGAATATAAAAATGTAATAAAAATCAATATGAATAAATAGATACCTTCAGTCTCCGGAACCATGACATCATCATCTAGAAATAAAAAATGGAAACAATTAAGAAATAAAAATAAATCCCTTTTGAAGAACACACTAAATTATTATCCTTACCTTCCTCATCACAATTCATTTCCCGATCATCATCATTAGACATTTGCAGACTTTGAGGACTAACCAAGGTTTTATTTATAACTTCCTCCTCACAATTTTCACTGGGCAAAGATATTTCATCCTCTGATGCATGGGGGAAACCCAAAAAATCTTCATCAGAATTATACGAATTTAAGTGTTGGCTTCTTTGTGAATATACCAATCGCATACAATCGATATCTTGTTGCAGCAGAGCAACATTATTATGACTTGTCTGAGATTCCTGTTTCCCCGGTGAATTTTCCTGGGTGAAAAAAGTTGTGAGATTCAAAAGATTACCACCAACTCGTTCGCTTAAATCTGGCGTATTGGTGGTATTCAAAATGTCTTCATCCTCCTCAGTTTGACTTATTTCCTGTATTGACATGGCTGAACTACCATTACTCAAGCAGTCTTCCTCCTCCTTTTCGTGTACTTTGTCATCTGCTTTACTAGCCGACTCATTAAATTCCAAACGCCTACTTAATCGCATCTTTTTCTGCTTCCTACGGCAATAGGTTTTTTCGGGCTTTTGTTTCAATATAAATTGTGGACTATATTCCCAATTGTGTGTGGTACTTGTCTCCAATGATTTTGTTGTAAATGGCGACAGGGCAAAATCCTCGAGTATTGAATTTACCAAACGCAGACTTTTGTTTGGTGTCGATTCCACAACAAGAATTTGATCAGCCTCATTGCAACAATTTAACAACTCCGATTCAGTAATGAAAAATGATTTTTCTTTATCACGGGATCTCTCACAGTCTTCCCTAAACTCAGTTTCCACTAGTCTTTGGCATGTTTGGAATTCTTCATTAATTGGAGGCACATTTACTGTTTTAGGTTTTAAGGATTGACGATCAGCTTGCATCAGCAATGTTTCCATTTCAAAAGGTATATAATCTGTTACAAGAGAAGATGTTACCACAAAGGTTTTATTCATGTCCTCCTCCTTGCCTTCGGAATCATAGTACAAAAATTGTAAATTCTCTTCCTTGCTTCCACTTCTCTCTGAGGTTTCCACATTTTTGTTTAGATTTCTCCTGCACTTCTTCCTTAACGTTCTGGCATTGCGTATGGATTTATTTGTGGAGGAGGAAGGGCTTGAAGAAATTGATTCGTCTTGCATGTCATGGGATAATATCCCAATTATTCAATGAAGTTGTTGGAATAAACAAAACTGAACTTGCTAAGTTGGATTTAAGTCAAACGAATAAACCGATAGCAGAGAATAACTGATAAAAACAAAATTTTCTTGAATTTGTCGTCTTTTTGTGGGGAATGAGGGAAATAGATCAGTTAAGATCATGAATCAAAACAAAAGAATAGGGCTTTAAAAAACAATATTCAATACATGGTAGGGTTATAGAAATCGACATTGATCTAATCAAACAGCTGGTTACAGTACATGGCAAAATAATTAAATTTGTAATTTATTTGAGGTCTACAAATAGTTTGTTCCCGTACTGCAAGAATCTACAAGTTTTTACTATTTTTTCCGATATCATAAAGGGAAAACGTAGATTCTTGCAGTACGGGAACTTTTCAAAATTTAATTTTGTATGGTAAAAAACAAATAAATTATTTCCATTAAATATAATTAATAAAATGAAAAATAATATAAACAAATATAAATACGCGTTCTGATTATAGAATTTTACCACATTGGTAAGAAGAAATGTATGATTTGAGAATGAATCAATATGTAAACCATTAGAAAAGGAAACCTGACATTCTATTAATTTTTCGCATTTTTAGTAACATTTTAAATATATGTCAAATGAACAGATATAACGACTTGTTGGATTTGCTTTTATTTATTCTGACATTGTAGACCACAACGTAGAGGTGTATTTTTTCTATGTTGACAAAACATACCTTATAGTACGTTTACATTACATCGGATTTATTTAATCCAGTGGGTTTAAATTGTCATTTCCTTTGCATATATGTCAAATAAATCCTCATATAGTAGGTTAACCCTGCAAAAAGTTCTAAATTAAATGTCACATTTGGCGATTTTTCAATTAATTTTTTCTTATATTAGTAATATTAATTATAAATGAAAAAAATTTCAATTTTTTTATCAGCTGTCACATTTTTGTTAAGCAACAATATCAAATGGTAACGTATTTTGTGGCATACTTTAAAGAGAAGTAATTTTTTGTTCTATTTGAAATTATTTAGATTGACCATATGATTCCGACATATTGAGAACATTTAATATTGTATTATTATTTTCATCTTCACCCCCACAGTGATCCTAAGTCCAAGTTTCAGTATTCCAACTCTAACGGTGAACCCACAATTCAAATTGTACCAAATTTAGTACACAGTAGTACTAATTTCCAAAACTTCCTACGTACCCTGAACCTTCACCGACACAGTGATCATAAGTCCAAGTTTCAGGATTCCCACACCCCAACAGTGATCCTGACACCAAATTTCACGATTCTAGATCTATTGGTTCACCTAAAATTCAAATTGTACCAAACTTAGTACCATTTAGTACCTATAATTATTAATTTCTTAAACTGAATCCTGAACCCCATCCTACACCACTATAGTAATCCTGACTCCAAACTTTATCGTTCCCACTGTATCGGTTCACCCAAATTGTACCAATTATGGTACGATTTAGTACTTTTCGTACACTCCCTCAGTAATGTTAATTGCAATTTTCAGTATTCCAGCTCGATTTGTTACTCTAATTGAAATTTGTACCAACTATAGTACCATATAGTACTTTTCGTACACATGAGAATACGCTTTCAAAAGCATCTCCTTATATCGAACCTTCTTCCCAACTCTAATTCGAATTGCGTAAATATAGCTTTAATGTCAATTAAATTTGAACATATTTAAATTTCATTTGAATTTGTTTGACATAGTATTGAAAACAACATCTCTTGAACGGATTTCCGAGGTCTACACGACCTTAAAATATTTTATTCCAGATATGGAATATATTTTCTATGATAACAATGACCTTTTAAATTATCGATTATTTTTTATATTTTGTAATTATTAACAATTTAATTATTATTATATATAAAAAATAAATTTCCCTTGTGAACCTAAATCACAGCGTTGCATTTGCCTTATTGTTCAAACAGTGTTGTAGCGTAGACATTTCCGTACACTTCCCAATTACTGTGCACTGGTAAATCGAGTGTACTAAAAAGACACAACAGCTGTCTTTTCTCTTTCCGTTTCCTTTTTCGTGAACGCTTCCAAAATGAAAGCTAAGGGACAGGTAATTTTCCCTAAAAAAATATGAAAAATTATGACAAAACTTTAGTGAAAAATGTGGCAAATATATTTAAAAGTAGCAGGGGATGATATTTAATCGAAATCATAAAAATTCGGTGTGATTTTATTGTTAAATTAGCAAAAAAATATAAAATAAAAAATCCGACATGTGCTGCCGAGACCGTATGTGAAGTGCGAGTGTGTGTGCATTGCTATAGAGAACTGTCAAAACATTGCAAGTCGACATCGTCCATGATGATAATGAATTACGCCAACATGTAAATAACATGCGAGATAAATACAATTAATATTGGATCAATTGCAAATGGATCGGAACTATATGTAAATCTGCCTTATATGAAATGTGTTTGCCTCATTTTTTGTTGTTGTTTTGTTTGTGTATTATCTTCAGTGCTGCATGGTTCTTGACTAATATGTTTCCTTTTTTATCTTACAGTTGAAGGAATACGAGGTCATCGGCCGCAAGTTGCCCTCCGAAAAGGAGCCTCAAACTCCTTTGTACAAGATGAGAATCTTTGCTCCCGACAACATTGTTGCCAAATCCCGTTTCTGGTACTTCTTGCGCCAATTGAAAAAGTTCAAGAAGACCACCGGTGAAATTGTCAGCCTTAAACAGGTGTACGAAACCTCACCCACCAAAATCAAGAACTTTGGTATCTGGTTGCGTTACGATTCCCGTTCCGGCACCCACAACATGTACCGTGAATACCGTGACTTGACTGTTGGTGGTGCTGTCACCCAATGCTACCGTGATATGGGTGCCCGTCATCGTGCCCGTGCCCACTCCATCCAAATCATCAAGGTTGAAGCTATCCCCGCTAGCAAGACCCGCCGTGTTAATGTTAAACAATTCCACGACTCCAAGATCAAGTTCCCCTTGGTACAACGTGTCCACCACAAGGGCAACAGAAAATTGTTCTCATACAGAAAGCCAAGAACCTACTTCTTGTAAATCTTGTTGTGGGGATATTGACGACTATAAATGTGTGTGGGTTTTACTACAGATTTCTTTTTTTATATATTGTAAGACTACTATCATCATCCTGAGAGAGTCGGTGAAACACACAACAGTGTTTTGTTTGAAGGTAAAAGAAATAAAAATGTAAAGAAAATCTTAATCAATTCTGTGTATTGTTTCTTTAAGCAAAAAATAAGGTTGAAATGCAAACAAAAACAAATGGGTTTGTGCAATGCAAAATGTAAACAAATTGCAAGTGTTTTCAAATCAAAGAACCTTGGAGGATTTACAAGAATAGCTACAAAATCTTTTATGAATGAAAAGAAAGCAGTTTTTTGTAGTAGAGATGCAATAGGTTTGTTGTGAATTATTTGAGTTTTGAAAATTGATTGTACAAATTGTTACCCATTGAGGAACACTATTTAAAAGTTAATCAAGGCTGATCAATCACATAATGTCATAGTTTCAACACCAATGCTTTAAAATCACAAATTATAAACATGAAACAAAACCAACGTTCTCTTTCAAAACACAATTTTGCTTTGAAGAACTTATTTGCCTGAAATTTGTAATTGGCGGTGGAACATTGAAAACAGATGCTGAAAAGTCCGTTCGATTAAACAAATTAAGAGCACAAGAGAAGTGAGAGGTTTCCTCGTTTTTTTTTCCAGCTGTATGGTAACGCACCTCTAACGAATAAATTCTATAGTCATTTGAACAGCTGGAAAAAGCATGGACCACTGCTCAAGTACTACTATGGAGTATGCATCCTAGCATTCTACTCGCAATTAAATTCCTTATGTCCTTGAAAGATCTGAGTGTTAGTTAAGTCCAAGTCCTTGAAGGTCTGATAGTGTAATTGCAGATATGTTGTCTAGGCTAGAAGTAGACGAAAACTCAAAACTTAATTCATTCGATTTTAAAACAACTGAATTTGAAAGCGATGAATATCTCAAACTTATTAAAACCAATTAAAAAAACATTGACCAGTTACCCGATCTGAAGAGGGAAAACTGCATGATTTTCAAGAGATATAGAGCAGGCATGGAGTTAAAAAGGAATATGGGGACGTTATGGATCCCACAAAAAGCGCACACTTACAATATCAGCCCATGAAGGCACCAAAAAACTTTAGATAGGTTACACGATTTTGGCAGAACGTTAGGTATGCAAGATAAGTGAAATGGCAAATCAAAAAAAAAAAAAAAAATCTAACAGACCTTAATAAAAAGTATATAAATAAAATATATTTTGTAAGGACTGACCTTAAACATAATTTTTTAATAATATTGTAAGGACTAGGTACACAAGAGAGGATTTTTTTATATTTTGAGGACTTTCGAAAAGTTTAGAGGTTTTATACCCTTCACCACACTGTGGTACAGCGTATTATGTCTTTGTGCATATGTTTGTAACAGACAAAAGGAATCGAGATATACCCATGGTTCCTTTTGAGAATATGCATAGAATAACTTTATGAGTCGATTCATACATGTCCGCCCGTCCGCCAGTTGATGTTAAATTGTAAACAAAATACATGTCGCATTTATAATCCGATTTGGATGAAATTTGACACAGCTCATTTATTTGGCCCAAGGACGAACCCTATTGAAATTGGAGAAAATCGGTTCAAATTTAGATATATATATATGTATAGTTTCGCTCGATTTTAGGTAAATGGTATACCAAAGTCCAAAGTAAATGGTGCACTAAAAAAACCAGAGCTAGGCCGATTGACACAACGTACTGAAGTTAATATAAATTAATCTCTGGCATGTTTCCTTGAAATCATTTGAGATATAGATATAGCATAGTTTCCATATATAATTTCGACCTATTCATGTTACAAAATTTAGCAATAGGGTCCAGAATGGCATGTGTAGGGATTGATGTTAGTCGGTTTATATATAGAAAGAGATCACATATGTAAGTTCGTTCAATTTCCAATTTTTCTTCGAAGAGGCGACGTCTGTTAGGATACATATGTAGAATACACCCAAATTTGTGAAGGGTATGATATAGTCCGACTTTACTACTCTCCTTACTGGTTTAATTACATTTTTTAAGGACTGTATATAAGCTTGAATATTTCAAATGAAATTTTTAAGGACTATCAAAAAGCGTAAATATTTTAACAATTTATTTCAAATAATATTTTTAGGACTATCTATAAGCGAGGATGTATCAAATAATATTTAGGATATTTCAACATTTTTTTAAGACTATCCATGAGCGTGGATTTTTAAATATTTTTAAGGACTGTCTATAAACGTGGACTTTTTAAAGTTAAGTTTATTGATTTTTTAAACAATATTTTCTAAAGAAATGTAAAGGATATACATTTCCTATTCATCACCAAAAATTAATGCCATGTAGGTGTTTAAAAAATATTTTCTTTTTAAATAATAAAAAAAATAATACATTAAAAATTTTCAAAACATTTTTTTTTCATTTGCAATATTTTTTTATATTTAATTAATTTTCAATATTTTATTCAAAACACTTTTACTTTTTTAACAATTTATACCTCTTCTACGACTACTTCCTATATATATTTGTATATATGATTAATTTTCAATATATATTTCGCAAAATCGTTTAATTAATTTTTAGAAACAATTTAAGCCTCTTCTTCGACTACTTCCTCTTCATTATTATCACCTGGAGATGAGGGCATACATTCTGTAAAGTATTCCCGTAAATTGTTACATTCATCCGTGCCAGACCAAATAGAATCGGGACATTGTTTGAAAGTATCCAACATTGCACAATGGAATAGTATGCCAGCCTGGGGAGAACAATGATGATGATGTGGTGGTTTTGGCCGAGATGAATTTTCAAAATGTTGACGTATTTTTTCCATTATTTCCAAGGATTTTTGATGACATGTCTGGAAGGATTCCTTTAGAATTGGTATGATCTCAGGAGATTCAGCAGCAGCAGTACTTAAAAAGGTATCCAAATTTTCTTCCTGCAGCTCGCCTTCAATTAAGATGCCAGTTTCATTGAAAAGGCAGGATGGGAAACACTTTAAATAGAATAAAAAATGTATTTAAAATATCCTGCAATGGTGTGATTCCAAACAAAATTACATGATGGTGATGATGATGTCCATGATGCCCATGGTGTCCACGTGGTCCGTGACGATTGTGAGCATGTGGTGGTGGTCCACCACGCTGGTTATCATCAACCTCATTATTCATGCCTTCTGGTGGTGGTGGAGGACGTTCATTTCCTTTGCATTTTTCAATCAATTCCTCAGATATTAAATTTGGTACACTGCAGCATTCTTTTGGATCCTTTGTGAGAAGAATTGTTCACTACTTGATTTGTTTTTTTCTTTTATTTTTCTAATTCAAAGCTTACCACAAATGTCGGAGGTGTTTCACAATCAACCTCAGCGTTTACAAAGGATAACTGAAAAATATTAATTTTTTTGTATTCGATTTGAATTTAACATTAAATTAATTAAACACACACCACTGCTAATAGCACCGCTCCGGCTAGAATGTATATGGTTTCAGTGCCCATTATGAAATTGAAAATATAACTGTTAAATAGTTTCAAATCCGTTGTCTATTTATTGGGAAAAAATAACTGCTCCGAATTAACTGCATTGCTATTGTTTCGTTGCATGATATATGCAAAAACAAAAGTTATTAATTGTTTAAAATCTCTATATATAGTATATATTCGATTTAATTACTGTAAATAAAATCAACTAAATTTATATATGTACACACACTCTCTTACTATATTAGGTTGTATCTGGGGTATATATTGTGTTGATTTTGGATGTTCTGAATCTTTAGGAATGTGTATTAAGTCCGTAAAATTATACCTTGTTAACATTCTTGGATACAGGAGAGGGAGTGTACAAATGGCTCTCATCTTCGGACTTGATATAGGATAGGTAAAAACATTACCATGTGTAAAATTTGGGTCAAATCGAACATTCCATTTGCTTAATATTGGATTTATACACATTTTAAATGTTGGGGGAGGTACCAAAAGGTGTGAACCGAATAGTTCCATCTTCAAACATTAAATATGTTTGATTAAAGTATAAAGTTTTGCAAAGTTTTCAAATCGTATAGTCTGTTCGTATGTTATAACATTTTTAGCAAAATTTTTACTATTTTGTGGGGGATGTAACAAGGAGTGGACCAATATTTTCCCCCTTCGAATTTGATCCAAGTTCAGAATAAATATTACGATGCGAAAATTTTAAATTAAATCGGTTACTTCTTTCGAGAGTTGTCGTGTGCACCAGCCGGACAGACAGACGAACGTACATTTGCAAATCGACTCCAAATTGTCTGAAACGGATTTGGTTCAATGAAACACGGGGTCTTAAACCAATATTTCGATAAGACACATCAAAGTGTATATTTACCATAGGTGAGGGTCCCATCTTTAGGTTTATTGTTCTGATTGGCATGATATACAATATATGTTGTAGAGGAGATCAAATATAGACTATAAAAAATCGATAAAGTCGAAAAAAATAAATGTTAATAAGTTGATCTACATGGACATCTTATTCTGAACACCGTAAAATCGAACTATGACTTTGCTTTGTTTACTTTTATAAAAAAAGATATCATTTTCATATACGATAGACATTTTTTTAATAATTAAAATTAGTATTTTTAAAACATCTAGTTTATCTAAACTAATAAAATAATGGATCAAATATAATATCTGCGTATTAAAGAGATATTCAAAAAAATCCACTGACCAATTATAGAGAATTTGTTTAGAACAGGTATTGGCAAAATTAGTTTCTTAGTGTTCAAAAAGAGGGGATCTTCTTTTCAGATACATGGCTCTGATTTCGGGCGTATAGATATCTAGCTATGGTTATATGACCTTCGAAAATAGCAATATTCACAAATTGTATGTATAATTATTGCAAGAAAATTTTCAGATTTACACATGTGGTTTTACCAAATTTCATATTTTTTTTAAATCATTTGTTCTGGTATCTATTTGAAAATATCATGCCCATTCATTTAAATTATTATTAATTAATGTAATACATATATTAACACATTACTGTAATTATTTTAAATAATAGTTTATTGTCTGTGTAAAAAAATAAAAACAAATTGTTCTTCCCCCAAAACTTTACATTTTTACAGCCTAGAAAGAAATTCATGACTAGCTCATGGCAATCGATGAGGAAGGAATGTGTCATCACCCTCACCTATGATGGATTGTTGGCACAATAATAATGTTTAATTTTAATTGATTATAACACAACTTTTTTAATATTATACAATTATACACAACACAAATAAACAAATTAAATTTAAAATAAAACAGTAACAAACAATAATTCATTGGACCAATTAGAAGTGATTAAATGGAATTAATGTCGACCCCTCCAACTGAAGCGTAACCCCCCAAAAAAGGAGTTTTTTATGTTGCAACATGATTTGTGGAAAATTATTATAAATTTGATAACATTTTGGTAAAAACATAACAGTCATTATTTGCACGTTGATTTATTTGTCGGTTGTAATCATGTTCCAGCAACAATTTGGATTTGGGAAGTTATTTGGTATTGTGGCCACGCTTTTGTTGGCTCTGATGATGGTGGTATGTTGCTTAACTAAAATAATAATTTCAAATTTTTTATTAATATTATTTATTTTGTATAAAGGAAAAATCATATGCCGCTGCTGCTATTGACTGTACAAAGAGGCCGCCAATGATTGTGAGTATAATTTTTTTACGGGACAGACCTCCTGACAGATATTTGCTATATCACCCATATAAACTTTTCGTATAGCCATAGTGGAGTGTGGTATTATGCAGCCGATCTAAGAGAAATTGATACTTTCCTTTTTATTTAAAAACATTAAATATTCCTAACGTAGGAATTTGAATTTTATTTAAAATAATATTTTCCATTACAGGACCCCTTAACCTGTTGTAAAATTCCCGATATAATTAGTGATGACATAACGGAGAAATGTCGCAAGGCGATGCCAACACCACCACCTCCACCATATCAGCCATATGCTGCAGCTGGAACTGTGTCTAGTGAAGAAGATAAATCATCCATGTCAAATGAATCAAAGGCTCCAAAGACCACTGGGCCACCAATGAGACGGCCACCACATCCACATTATGGACCTCCACCACCATTTGTGCAGGCGGTAAATACAGAAAATAGCATCTTCATATATGATTTAAAAAAATAATTTCAATGTTTATTTCTAGTGCTTCCTATCCTGTGCCCTTAATGAAACAGGAATTTTAATGGCCACCCCCGAAGCCAAACTAAATGAAAATAAATTATCAATGTATTTAAAAGATATTTTAAAAAATACCACAGATATGATACCAGTTATAGAGAATTCATTTAAAACATGCGCCATTAAAATGGAGGAAATGAGTAAAAAATTTAAGGAACATATGGATAAAAATAAATCAACATCATCTTCGTCTTCGAATGAGTCTCGCACCCAAGATCGTATGTTACGCCCAGCCCCCCATCATTGCCCCATGCTAGCCACCCATTTAATGAGTTGTGTATTTCGTGAATCATTCACAAATTGTCCCACATCGCTGTGGTCCAATACCGAGCAATGCAATGAAATGAGGGATCACATGAAAAACTGTAAAAAACCAAATGGAGTCCATGGAAAAATGGAATTAGGTAAAATGTAAAGCCTTTTATCTTGTATACCACAGAAATGCAACAATATGGCCTGTTAGCTGATTAAGTGAGGACCCCATGTGTTCCATACCATTTCAATTTTATTTTTTTTTTTATTTTCAATCAAGTGTAAAATTTGATTAAAGATTTGTAAAATAAAACAAAAGAAAGAACAAAAGACATTTCTTATCAATCACAAAAACACACATCCGGGCAATGCGCATGTCCTGGGTCTTGTTTGGCGGTCATAATGTTTCATTTAGGTTCAAATTGAAACACATTCTACCTAAAACCTTGCTTGTGAATAGACATGGAGTTGGAAAAAGAATTTCAAGATTTTTGCGGAACTCTAAGAAAGGAAAAATTTTCCGACCGGGAAATTCAAGAAATTTGCAAACCTCTGTATCGTTATCAACGTAAAGAAATTTTGAAAAAATATTGCAAATTGCTGTTGGGTTGTTTTGTATTCTATGCTCTAATACAGTGGTGTGATTGTTTCAATTGGTTCGTATCGGCATTGGGCAGATTAGTTTTGATACAAATATTACCAATTTGGAATTGGCCGGCACTCTATAATGCTAAATGTTTAATTGAACGTCCTTTGAATAATGAGAATATTCGAACTGGAAATGATGTATCGTATCCGGTGGTGGAAAATGGAAATTGTTTGCTGTGTGAAAATATTGGTAAGTTTTACTAAATTTAGAAAAATAAAACGAATAAAAAAGTTTTAGTTTGTGGAGGTCTACGGAATTACTTTTTATATAAGGTTATTTTTTTGTACTTTTTTGTACTATTTAAAGAGGTACCAGAATAGGTTACACTATGTTTTAATATTTGTGGCGGAATGGATCGATGGGTCCCATTTCCGGATGTGATCTAGGTTTGGTATAAGTATTACGATGTGTGAAGTTTGGGTCAAATCGGAAATTGAGTTCGCTTTTTATTGAATTCACAAATTTTGAAAATATTGACAATTCGTGGATTGATGGGTCACATCATAAATTTTTAAAATTTTGACATTTTGTGGGGAAGGTACCTGAAGGAGTGGACAGATGGGTTTCATCTTAGAACATGATCTAGGTTTGGTAAAATTATTGCGATTCTTTAAGTTTGGGTTAAATCGGACATTCCATTCGCTTGGTATTGCAATAAGCAGGAGTCCGATGGGTCCCATCTTCGTATTGGTAAAAATATTACAATGTGTACAGTTTGGGTCAATTCGGACTTTTTTTTACTTTTTGTGGAGGAGGTAACAAAAGGATTGGGAAGATAAGTCCCATCATTTAACATTACACAGTCATGATTAAAATATTAGGTTCTGCAAAGTTTGGTTCAAATCGGATAGTCCGTTCGTGTGATATTACAGAATTATTTTCAGCCAAATTTTTACCATTTTGTGGGGGAGGTACCAGTACCAGCAAAGTGTGTATACCCTCATTAGTCATAAGGCTGAGGGTGTAACAAGTAAAATCATCGTTTGGCCAGGTCGAACTTCAAATATTCAAAATACTGAAAATTAGGGGTTCCAATATATGGAAGCTATACTACGACGTAGACCGATATTTATCATGTTTTGTACAGTAGACAACGGGTATAAGAACATCTTATATAAGACATCTTATATAAGAAAAACTCGGACATAAGAATGTGTTTCACCAATATAAGCAAACAGTTTATTATATAAAATACATTCATATAAAAAAACCCACTTATAAGAACAAATTTCTCGATTTGTTTGGAAGCTTTTATATCCGTGGTCTACTGTAGTAAGATTTTCAACCAATGAGAATACAAACTATAAAATTAAGGGTACCTTTTTATGGGGTATGTCCTGAAATTGGTCAATATTAATTATTTTTGTTAGGAAGATTTTCTAATACCACTAATACTTCAAATTTCAAAACTGAGTGTCTATTATCCCCTTAAATTGCGTATAATGACGGACAATGGGTAAAGAATCTCCTGGCGTTTTGGGGGCTTCCTAAAGCATAGATATTTTATTTCTACGGAAAATGGTATACAGACTACTCACTTCGATTTTGTTTATTTTATAAATGATTCTCTTTGGTCTGCTCCCGTACAGCAAGAATTTACTATTAATTTTGATTTCATAAAGGAAAAATAGTAATCGTAGTAAAAAATAGTAGATTTTAGTAGATTTACGGGAACAGACCAACCCAACATATAGAATTGGAATAAGTGAGACACCTCGTTCTAACTCTTCCCATTACCTTTTCATAAAACACATTAACTCAACATGGACATTTACTAATTACTTCCCTTCCCCTTCTTTAACAGATTTCATACCAACTGTCTCAAATATTACCTTCACAACATTGGAAAATCTATATCTTGAAAGTGGCATACCTGTTGTGATAACCGATTCCCATAGACCCATAACAGCTGATGAATTATTCGAGACAATATTCTACAAAACTCCCACAGCATTTCTGCAAAGTTCCCCCTGTGATACGTCCACAAATTTAATCATAAAGAAATTTTTTAATATTGATCTCGTTTTGCGAAAAGCATGGCAGCTATTGGATTCATCGGAAAAATGGTTCGTACAAATGCGTAATTGTCAATCATCAGCGGTACGAGCATCACGTCTATTTATAACAAAACCTTATTATTATCCCGTGCATTTGGAACCATATTATTCTAGTTGGTTTATAATGTCACAGAATTTCGGCCATCGGCAATATCAAAAAATAACGCTTCAAGGTTTAATAATCGTACAACAACTATCTGGTACGAATAGTTTGAAATTGAAACCCAAAAAACCTTGTGATGAAAATTGCCCCCTCATAAATGTCCAGCTGAAGGAAGGTGAAGGTTTCGTCTTTTCCAGTGATTTGTGGGAGTTAAGTTATAAGCATAATAAATCATATCAGCAAGCAAGTGTAACAACTATTATGGAAATCGATTGGAATGTTTGATCAATAAAAATTTAATAAAAATAAAAACAAGTGAGTTTTTGTACTTTAATAAAATAGTAATGTATTTAAGTATGTGTTGCAAAGATTGAGGTTAGCTTTAAAAATACTCCGAAAAGCGAAATGAAAAAATTGGATAGATATTTACTCATAATATTGGCTTTTAAGCTGAACTATACCGAATCTTCGGCCGAACATCGCAACGCCTTGAAACTATTAAATAATCTACTGACTGACCAAAGTGACTAACTGTTATACCGATTTATATGTTCTAACAAAATTGGCGAGGACTTCCCATTTGAAAAAGTATTAAAATCGAGTTCTACAATAAACTGCCTTGTGTATTTAAATTTATAGCTGTCGTATTCCTGAATAATGGCATTGATACTTACCATTGAAGGGATACGTTTGCAGAATTTCTTTCACGTATGCAAATGTTCGAGCCAAAGGGCCAAATTTAGTTCTACAATAAACTGTCTATTGTAGAATTTAAATTTATATCTTTCATGTTCCTCAATGATGGCATTGGTGACTGGTACTTACCATTCATAGCACGTATTCACGGGTTCCCTTTCAACAATACCAGGAAAGATTTCGTATTTCGACTGGCTAGAGGTCTCTTCCGTACTGCAAGATTCTCCTAGTTTTTACTACTATAACAATTTATCCTTATGATATCTAAAAAAATGGTAAAAAAGTAGTAGATTCATGCAGTATGGGAACAGACCATTCATTTGGTCATTTGTCCTGATTTGGTGCACAGGGAATATTTTTTTACTTCTATATCAAAACTTGAATATACGAAATAAACTGATAATAATTAAAGATATTTTCAATTTTTCAAAACTTTTATTTTTTCGATAAAAATACGTCAAAAAATTATCGATAAATTCCAAATTTGCAATGACAACAAATCTCCGCTCTTAACGGCGTCATAAAATTTGGTACGACTTCGGTCTATGGTCGGCATTGTTTATTTTGCCGGAAATTTTTCGCAAAAATAAATAAAAAACAGAAAAGCTATGGCGAATGCAACAAAAAATGTCATGTAAGTATAAATGGAAAGCATTGTCGCTTCATTGCGGATGTGGACATACACCAAGAATACATGTGGATCACCAAAGCTCAATATAAGGCGGGAAAATCTGATGCCTGCATGCCAACATGTGGAAAACCTAAATTATTCCCAAGAATCTAAATAATGGTATTATATTCCCTTACAGAACTGACTGGAAGAAATTATGGCAGCTGGTGTCGGGCATACATCATGAAACACCTGAAAGCACTGTCTTGGAAGAGCTAACAAATGTAAGCCAAGAATTACAGGATGGCCTTTTGCAATTTAAGACATCGAATGATTCCAAAACAACCTTGGAAAAGTTGTTGGCGGAAAAGAAACAAGAGAAGCTACTGCCTTTTACCATACGTTTGCAGGAATTACTGGTGGGTAAATTCAAAACACTACAAGGAAACTAATTTAATTTGTTATCACTTTTACAGGATCTCGAATCAGTGCAATGTTGGGAAATCTTATGCTTCTATTTGGCCAATGAATATCGCGGTTCAGCCAGCTCCCTAACTACACTCATATCAACCGAAAATAATATGACCCAATTACTGGATGATATTTGGGGTTACTACACCTTGGAACGTTTGATTGTATTGAAAATTGTAAAAAATCTCTTGATCTTTTACCGTGTACCCAACCATCCATATCACAATGAGTATAAGCAAATTGTCAATAAGATCGGCATGGATAAGCTAAGGGAATCTTATATCAAACAATTGGAACATTTGATAAATGAGGCACCACCCCATAAATTGACCAATCGTGAATTTTTCAATTATCAATCGAAATTGGTTAATTGGTCAGAACGTAATGCACGAGAAATTATAGAAGTTTCGCATATCATCATCCTACTGTGTGATCATCGACATTTCAATGCGCAAGAAATTAAACGATTATTTAATTGTTTTAAACAACATTCCTTTGGTAGGCAGCAAAGTTATCTGAATGCCTCTGCAAATGCTTTACATTTTGAGCTGTTAACACGTCTGGCCTATGCAGAGTTGGCGCTATTTCTTAAATGTCTGGACTTTAAGAGAGACAGCGGTGACTCAAAGCCGTTGGCCAATAGTGTATTTAAGGAATTGGATAAAGATGTTACCGGTATGTGTCATCATCCGGAAAATGGTCCAATGCTTATGTCATGGATGCTAATGCAAATCCAATATACGGATGCAGCCGAGAATGAGGAACATTTAATGCGTTGCCGTAAAATGGGTAAAAGAGCAGTGGATTTGAATTGTTTTAAATTTCTACATGATTTACTATCAAATTCAATGTTTAAGGTGAGAGGAAATTAAATTCTCTACTTAGTGTTATTTTTAAATTTTTAATTGTTTCTTAAGGATGATTCCATGGTCTCGAGAATTGTTCGAAAAACAATTTATAATATGTTAAGCCAATTGTGTGAATATTTTGATGGTGATGGCTCATGCTCGAAACATCCATTTATTTATGAACTTGTCTGTGAGCTATTAAGTTGGCCAACATTGGCTAAGGAATTCTGTTCACAAGAGGGTTAGTAAAAAATGATTTTAAAAATGCTATTAATTAATTATATCCAATTTATTTCTCAGAGGGAGGAGTTCGTTCGCTTTATGACACATTATTGGAAATGTTCCCATTAGATTTCGCCCATCTTTCTATGATAGCCACAGCCTTGACTAAGGCTGGTATGGGAAATTATGTAAGTATAATTTTTAATCTATAATGTTGTGTTTCAAAGATACCAAAAACCTCCTCATGGTACAATTTTTGTACCCTGAGGAGGTGCTAAAAAATTTTAAGAAATCCAGGCTTATATGTCGTCCTTGAAAAAATGTTTACAAAATTCTTTACAAATTCATCCTTAATCTCTTAAAAATGCTTTTAAAAATTATTAGGGCTTGAAGAAACCCCCTCTAATAATATTTTCTTCTTCTTTCTTTGTTTTTCTAGGTCAGACAAAATCTTGAATCCTTGCCCATACTCACAGATGTCTATGATGAAACTCGATTCCATTTAAAACCCCTAGGAGGTGATGATTATGTTTTGGGACACACCGTTAAACCATTTCCTCGTATTGATTTCTATCTACCCGAGGGTACCCAAGCCACTGTGTTGGGTCGTCCCGAAGGCTATTGTGTTCACTTCCGTTTGCCAGTGAATTATTTTAATGTTTTACATCATGAAATTAATTCCCTGCTGACTGAGACAATGCATTATCATGGTGATTATGAAAATACGGAGCGTGTTCGACGTGTTAACGAAGGCTTAAAATACCTACATGCCGCCTTGAAGAAAACCAAATCATTGCAAGGAATTAGTGTTGAAATGGTTCATCCCACTGAAATGTGCATCGATTTGTTAAACAAATTTAAGGCTTTGCAGAAACCACCCATCGAATTATTGGCCAATGCATTGAATGTGTGTACCGCCTTGCTGCCCTTGGCGGATGCTGAAATATTTATACGTGTCATAAATTTATCTATTTTACCGGTGATAAGCAACGATTCGCTGGGAGATTATAAAAAATATGCCCATGGTTCCTGTTTTGATTCCCTGTTGGTTGGTTCCTATTTGGTTGATATCGAGAAGAAACGCGAAAGTTTTGAATTTTTACAAGCCTATTTGGGTTTCCTTAGGACCTATACGAAATTGCAGAGGAGAAAATATTTTCAAGTGGAAATTCCCGGTTTGATATTTTTGCTACGTGATGTTTTCCCCCACTTGCACGTTTGGCGTTTCAAATCCCAGCAGGAAAAGTATACAATTTATGCCGAGATTATGGGTTTTATATGTGATATTCTGGATGAGTTTACCGCCTTGGAAAAGGATAAGGAAGTACCAAAGGATCAACTTTTATTGCGAGACATTTGTGTCTACTCCATGTTAAATATGGAAAATGGTATAATTCTGCTGCGTTTTGTGGCCTTGGGTAATGCTTATCTGCAACATTGCATGGAAATGGAATCGAATTGGATGATACAACAAAGCCATGGCCTGGTGTTGTTGGTCCGCTTATCCATGCGTATTCTAATGCAGGTTTTAAAATTGAAATCCACAATTTTTGATTCCTCTGAGTTGTCACCATTGGAGGCAATGATTTATACACAGCCCAAGCAGAGAGACACTCTGCGCATTATCCCCGTAGTAACACGTTATATGAGTAACATTTTCGACCGATGGCTACCCATATTGTCGTGTAGATTGCTGAAAAGAATTGCCTTGGAATTTAATATGTCTCTGCTGGCCTGCTTGGATATGGAGGCGGATCAAATACGTATGACTTTCCTGCAAAAATTACCCGATGAATTGGAAAGCGATTCCATTAAAATTGCCATATTGGAACTGGTGGAATCGTGTATTGCCAAACAACCCGGTGTCACAGAGGCTTTCTTCAAAGTCAACTACAACAAAGAGAAGCGTATTTTTGGCAAAGAAAGCGATACACAAATATCCGACAGTATTGTTACCTATATGGAGGATTACTTGGAGGCGGTTAGTAAAGATCCACAAATTGTGGAACAAACATTGCCGAGTAAAATCATGAATCTGTATCACATGTTGTGGAAACAGAATATGCAAATATTGGTGGACTCCTTGGCACAAAAGGACAACTTCTGGGATAAGTTGTGTAAGCCCCTCTTTGGGGAATATAAATCCAATGTCAAGGCCTATACCCAATTGCTGAATATTTTGGGTATTGAGATATTCTCCAATCATCACAAACCGAACAGTGATTTAAAGAAAGTGGTAGCCAAACTCTTTGACGCACCACATTTTGAAAAATGGATAGATTTTGTTTTCGATTTACCCAGAACGGCAGTGAAGAAGCCACATGAATTTAATCCTGAAGAAATGCCGGAATGGCTGTGTCGTCTGCAAGCGTTTAAAAGTTTTCTTTTAATACTGCTTAAGAAACAACCTGCCTTTATGGAAATTCCTCGCAAACAAT